TTGCTCCGTTGCTGTGGCCCCACACGGAGATGTGCACTGCTGACTGAATGCATTCGACCGGTGGTGTCTTCAAACAGCATCTCCGGTGGTGACTGAGATGGTCAGGCTCGGGAGACTTCGCCTGTTCGGGAAAGCTGCCCTGCGGACGCCTCGGCAGATCGCACCAGAGGCCTGCGCCCATTCTCAATGGCGGCACTACCGCAGGACTGGACACAACCTCGAGGGAAGACCATGGTTGACGTGGACACACAATGTTCAATGACGAATACTTCTGCTGGTCTACCATTTCAACAAAAACGTGTTTGTGAAAAAGTTACGTACATCTTGTTAACATTATGTAGGCATGTGTTCACTGCGTTTGTTTTGATGGGACTAGTGACACATGAAATGCGTAATACTTACTGAAGGCTAGAGGGGTATATTGTGAATGGTAAATCGACAGGTAGAATTCTGAAGCATTTGCACCAGCCTCCTCTTGGTATATATCATGCTTGCCAAGCACTACACCGATATAGGCAATAAAACTGCAGATATCACATAAGCACAACACCATTCATGCAGTTTTTTTCCTACGAAGAGCTTCCAAGTTGAAAAAACCCCATATAATTGATCCTAAGAAAAGCATATGTATGTTGAACTTCTGTCACACCATATGTAGCCAATCGTGCAAATCGGAGGTGCGGGGGAAGGACAAGCTAAACACCAAAAGCAGTTCTAAAGAAATGAGTTTTCAATGCAGAAGCGCATCTGAAAGCGCGCGATGCAGTAACCGTCTTTATAGCTACACATACTCGTATCCACAACATATATTTCAACCCGAAATAATTCCTAGCAGGTTTATGATTACACATATCTAAAAATAATCCAAATACAAATGAAGAACATAATTGGCACACAAGCCAGATGTGAGAACCCATTGTGGGCTGATGAGGGTTCCCGTGCAGTAGTGGTACCATGAACGTCAAGTCGTGGTAGAATTGCACAGACACCTGTTGTGAAGACAGCAGCATACAATCGAGTAGTTAACATAGGCATTTCAAAATACATTTCACCTAACAGGCATGTACTGATGCATTAATAAAGGTAAATGCTAATGCTCATGACACAGACATCGAACCATGCATGTAATACATTGATCAGGCGACAGCCAGATTTGTCGCCTGATGAAGCTAGTTTTAATTACTGGCAAAACGTCGTACTCAGATTGTAAATATTGTGGCTTTGCTTTCCAACACACCAGTATGCTGTACTAGTGACGAATTGGCATGTTCTGTTTACGTGACAACCCTTACTAGTTGGCTGTGTCAGGTGGTTGCGGGTTTTAACGACACATATATTTACGTGATCTAACCCAAAAACCTCTATTATGACCAATACAATGGTTGAAACTACTCTGTACATCCTATAACACAATTTCACAGGCCATATATTATGATGCAAAATCGATCATTTTTATTTTCTTGTCTAAATATCTGAGTATTAAAATAATGTTCTTGCATATACATCATAGTGTAGTTTCAGCCCTGTAAATTGTTTTAAAAGCTGGGGACATGGGGTCAATGGAGAACTCATTGAATATTTTAATGTAATTTAGATGCATTTAATTATCGATTTAAAGCTTTCGTGACTGCAAGGATTCATCTTCTTGGTTCTTTTGGTAAAGTCACGTAGAATGGGAATAAAATAAAAAAATAAAAATAAAAATTCTCACGACGTTTCGGCCACAACACAATTGGCCTTCTTCAGGTGAAGAGACAGGTCTGTCCGGAAGACAGCTTGAATGAACGCTGTCAAGCATGGACCGCGTCTATTAAGCTGTGGGCGGAGTTAAAATATGAATTTGCATGTTACCAGCATCACCTCCGGAGAGGAGGAGGGTGGGGGTTGGGAACACAAGTAGGAAAGAAAGGCAAGAGCAACAGCCAAGGTGCGCTGTTGTGTCCTGAGTTGCCTTATGACTATGCTATAAACTGGACTACTACATAATACAATATTATACCTTCCAATCTAAACTACATGGTATAATATCATATCCATAGACAAATTTCACCTTTGAATTATACAATGCGTTACTTTACACTACCCTATACTTTAGAAGATAAAATATTAGACTTGTGACATTAAACTATGTCTTATTCTATGAACCCAACTATATACCACACTGCTGTATATTCACTATGCAATTACGATGCTATATATTGCCTTATGAGTTATGTTAAATATTACAATATTATACTATTAATTATTGTACTACATGTTATAAACCATACCATTGACCGTGGTGTAAGAGGTATTAAGGGGCAATGCCAGCGAAAGGGCTGCGGTCTGAAAGTCACCGTAAAATACAATCAATTAAGAACCGAAATGGTTTAAAACATCTTTCCAATGGTTACTAAGCCAGAATCCATCTTCTCAGTTCAAATTGTCTCTGTGCTTGTATATGTGGATGGCCTCATGAACAAATCTCTCATGGTAGCCGGGTGGCTTGCAAAGAACCTCCGTCTTGAAGAAGTCAATGTCATGTGAGCCCACTGAATTATAACAGTGATCTGCCATGGCAGAAGAGTTCGTCCAACCATGTTTCAAGTCTGCTTTATGTTCACGGATGTGGTCTGAGACATGTCATTTGGTTTCTCCAATGTAGTTGCTACCACATAGGCAAATTTAGTTTGTAAACGCCCGGGTACTGTATGTCTGGAACCACATATTTTACAGATGGAACCAGGTCACGGATTTCCCGCCACCCGGACAGAAATTTCAATTGCTGAAGTGTCTGTGTGAAACCCAGATCAAACCTGAACAAGTGGGAACCCTAGCTTGAGGACCTACTTGATAAATTATACAGAGGGACGTGTGAAGAGGAGACTTTGGTTGGTGTACTTCAACTTCTTTATTTCGTTGTCACCGCTCGTACACCACAGCAATACTCGTTCAAACCAACCCCGTTTCCTCGTTTCACAGTCCATTTTAAACCTACAATTTCCCGCTCTTTTACGGTCCGTTTCTCCTCACCGATCCGATCAGTGTCATCCACTCACCAATTTGTTTGCGTGTCATGCACACATCCCCGATCTCTATTCCTTGCTCGAGTGTGCTGTGTGTGCGTGACGTCAGTGACCCCTGACCTCCGACCTTTCCTTGGTGTATCCCCCGTTTGCGTGATTGACATGTGCGGCGTGTGTGATGTCGAGTGCGGAAGGTGTGCGTGTTGTTTGTGTAGTGCGAATGTGTGAGGATGGATGAGACATCCTTTAAACATGCATCCATTTGCTTTACTGCCATCTTATGGTCAGCTCACAGTCCAAGGTTTGGTTCTAGATGAAGTCTGTATGAGCCACCAGCCTCTCATCGAAAGTACTGCATCATAGATCTATGCCACCATACATTTATGATGCAGTACTTTCCCTCGGTGGCTCTCGTTTTTTAACAGGCTAAATGTCTCACTAACACAGCCACCGTTGCGGTGGTTCTCTTACATTGACATGCTAATCTCTTATAATACAATGGCCACCTCCACAGCTTCGGTGGCGCCCTCCGATCTTACATTTACATGCAAATTCCATCTCTAGCCCCACCCCACTTACCCTTGGGCTACACCCATCTCAAACCTATATAACATCCTGCTTCAGCAGCTCTCCCGCTATATTTGACCTAATGACGATTGCTTGTGTTGCGCTCGAAACGTGATAATTTTTTTCTTTTTGATTATTTTTCTATCTCTGTGGCTTTATTGAAAGACGCAAAGAATATGCCACTATGTTCAACAAATGATAGAGATATCCATTCAATATATGAAGTTGCAGAGTGTACAAATACTCTTTTAAAATATGTATAACCGATGAACATAGTATACGAGCGTGTATACTGTTTACTACAGTACTATAGTGTTGTGACCACGCGTATACTGTTTACTACAGTACTATAGTGTTGTGACGTGTATACTGTTTACTGCAGTACTATAGTGTTGTGACCACGCGTATACTGTGACCACGCGTATACTGTATACACGTGGTCACAACACTATAGTACTGTAGTAAACAGTACACACGTGGTCACAACACTACAGTACTGTAGTAAACAGTATACACGTGGTCACAACACTACAGTACTATAGTAAACAGTATACACGTGGTCACAACACTATATTACTGTAGTAAACAGTATACACGTCGTCACAACACTATAGTACTGTAGTAAACAGTATACACGTGGTCACAACACTATAGTACTGTAGTAAACAGTATACACGTGGTCACAACACTACAGTACTGTAGTAAACAGTATACACGTGGTCACAACACTACAGTACTGTAGTAAACAGTATACACGTGGTCACAACACTACAGTACTATAGTAAACAGTATACACGTGGTCACAACACTATAGTACTATAGTAAACAGTACACACGTGGTCACAACACTATAGTACTGTAGTAAACAGTATACACGTGGTCACAACACTATAGTAAACAGTATACACGTGGTCACAACACTACAGTACTATAGTAAACAGTATACACGTGGTCACAACACTATATTACTGTAGTAAACAGTATACACGTGGTCACAACACTATAGTACTGTAGTAAACAGTACACACGTGGTCACAACACTATAGTACTATAGTAAACAGTATACACGTGGTCACAACACTATAGTACTATAGTAAACAGTATACACGTGGTCACAACACTATAGTACTGTAGTAAACAGTACACACGTGGTCACAACACTATAGTACTATAGTAAACAGTATACACGTGGTCACAACACTATAGTACTATAGTAAACAGTATACACGTGGTCACAACACTATAGCACTGTAGTAAACAGTATACACGTGGTCACACCACTATAGTACTATAGTAAACAGTATACGCTCGCACGGATGCTGACTATACGAGTGAGGCACGCCGACTGAGACTGAGCATGGGAGATGATTACCCACAATCCCGCAGAGAGAGAAGAACCATTGGCTCAGTTGTGATCACGTGACGCTCGGCAGATAAAGCGTTATACTGTACACGTATTGCTCGTATTGCAAGACCTCGCTCGTTTATCAAATTATTATTCATTTAAAAAATTTTGCTCGTCTTGCAAAACACTCGCAGACCAAGTTACTCGCAATCCAAGGTTTCACTGTATTTTGAATATTACGTGCCTATAATCATTGGACTAGAAATAACCTGGACCGTCGTCTTTTAATTTGTATTTCTGTTGTTAAATAACATCTTTGGCGAACAGAAGGTTCCTTTTCAGCTGTGACAACCAAAGCGAGTTTGTTGGAAACGGCAAATGAATGGAAGCACAGAGCCGAGCATGCGGGGGGGGGGGGGGCGGAACGCGACCTCATCTTCATCCTTTTGCACTACAATTAAAACAATGAAGAGGTGACGACGACGACCTCTGTCGGTGTGATTGTGAGATCTGAATCATTTAAAAAAAAGAGACCAAGCAAGCGACGGCCGTCTTCTCCGACAAACTTCGCTGTCCTTTGAAGACAACATCGCCAACAACAGAGGCGGCGTTCGCCGGCCGGACTTGTCGCTTTCTCACCGGCGCCGGTGAACGAAACGGTAACGAGGATGGGAGTTGTTGTGATATGTGACGAGGACAACAGCAACAACAACAACAACAAAGAAATTCCCCTCAAAGTTTGTACTGCGACATTATCTTACATGAATTTCGATTTAAAGCTATCTTACATGAGTGTTGGCGGGGGGTTGGTGTGTGTGTGTGGATAAAAAGGCCGTCACTCCGTTGCGTAACTAAGCTGTGGGTGGCCGCGTATCCAGAGTCGCTGGGACGATTTATTCGTTATAAAATAACCATTACGTCGTTCGCCTTCGGGGTTTATCTTTTTGTGTTTGTTTGACGGTGAGGGAAGAGGGGTTTTAGAAATTGAAGACGCAAGTGTGCGTTTGTTAAGTAATTAGTGTGTGGTGTGGTGTGTGTGGTGTATGTGTGGTGTGTGTGGTACAAAGTCGTAGTTGTTTGACGGCCACTGCATGGAGGAGCCGCCCGGCGAGAGCCCTCAACCCGAGCGTGTAAATGTTCGCCACAGTTTATAAATATCGTTACACACAACACAACAACACAACACACACACTCGTGGTGTACCAGCCCGGACGGCGAGTGCGTCGTCTTCTCCTTCTCCTTGTTAAAAGGTGAACGTTGTGTAAATAAGCGGTGGATTGAGATGCGGGTTTAAAGTCCGCCCGGGCATTGCGGTACACCGTACTGTACACGGCTGGTCCAGATGTCTTGTGATCCCACCCGCCCCCTACAATTTAATTATGGAAAACTTAATATATTATATATTTTTTAAGTAGGGTTTATTTAAACTATTAATTTTATGCAGAAGAGGGGTTGCAAATATTTAGGGGCGTCAATTCATGGGGGGGGAGGTCACAAGACATGTGGACCACCCTCTTGTACGCTGCACTGTATAGTAAACATTGCTTACTGTTGTAGCGTTGCATGCGCTTGTAATGTAACACACATACTTGTGCGAGTAATAATTTATTATTATTATTCTTGTCGGCCCATTGCTGGATGAGGGCCTTCGCACGCTGCGTCGGTCATGAGGGGTGGCGGCGGCGGCGGTGGGAGTGGGGTGGGGGGGGGAGGTTGACCATACTTCACCACGCCGGTCAGTGTGCGTGCTGGGCCGATTCGCACATCGTTGTACGGTGGCGGCTACTGCACTACTGATGAGTCCGCGTACCGCGTGAAGAACCCATGCGGGGTTTTAAACCCCCGTAGTCTTCTTGTACAGGGAAATTTAGTTTTTGAAGGTCGGCACGGCGTGCAGCCGTTTCAATGCGGGGAATTTTTTTTGTGTTTTGTTAATTGCGTCTTATTTTGTTTTGTGTGTTTCACCCCTTGTTGATGCACGTTGAGATTTATAAGCGGCACTTGTGTGTGGGGGAGAGGGGGGAAGTGTTGTTGACCAATAAAGGTATAGAATGAGTTGGTCTGTAAATAAGATAGGCAACTGATGAGTGATTGACAAGGTTTATGATTCCGTGAAGCGCTTGCGTGCGGGGGAGCGGTGGCGCAGTGGTTAGCGCACCCGTGGTCGATTCGGGCTCGCGGTCACCAACAAACCAGTGGCGATGTATCTGTGGACCCGGCCTTGAATTTCATATTACCCCCGTGCGGTGTGTAAGCAATCGGCATATATGGGGGGAGACAAATGCGGCCGGTGTGCGTGGTGCTGGCAAACACCAACCCCGAACGGTATGTTAAATACTTACACGAGTGGGGTTTTGTTTTTAATCACGGCTCGGGTAGACACGGCAATTTACAAAGCGAGACTTGGAAATAAGAAGGCCAAAATTGCGTAGCCGCTGGGCGATAACGTGTGTACTTGTTTGTACGCAAGTATTTGTTTTTTTGTTTGTTTGTACAAGACAGAACTTTTGTCAATTCATCTCTGGATGAGGACCTCCCCCGTACGCCTATCCAATGAAGGTCGTGTCGGGGTGGTGGGGGCACTTTGGCGTACAGCGCTTCACGAAGCAAGGTCGTTTTTTGTTCTTTCTGGAGACAAGAGTGGACTTGGCACCATACAAATACGGAACAATGGATTCTGCTGCACTGCGGCTCAGCTTCCTGCATGTAGGCCCCACTGCAGCAGGCGATTTAACACCCGCTTTGTTGAACGATGATGGTGCTTAGTCCATGCAAAGTACCCGTCTTAGGCCCGCATCGCTTCCTTCCCCCCATAGCTATTTCCGTGACCAGTCACATGCTAATAATCCCTCACATGAACATCATGCTCATCTCCCCAGTTCCGTGCTAATTTCTGACTTTAGCACCCTGCTGATCCAACACTTTAACACAGCTATTTCAATGCTAAATTCTCCTGTTTGATATGTAAACTCCTTTGTCAAGGCGCTTTACTTCTCCCACCTAGCTTAAAAGACGCTGCGAATCTTAGCAGCGTTCATTGAAGCGCTGTCGTCCCGACAGTTATGTTCCTTCACCTGAAGAAGGCTACTTGTGTTGTGGCCGAAACGTCGTGAGAATTTTATTGTCTTATTTTGTTTTATTGTTTTATTCTCATTCTACGTGACTTTACCGAAAGAACCAAGAAGATGAATCCTTGCAGTCACGAAAGCTTTAAATCGAAATCTTTCCTAACTTATTCAGCATATGAACACTTTCCATCAGTACAACGCAGCTTTCTTCCAATCAACCAAATTTGTCATCCGCGAATCTCAGGTTTTTTTACAGTATACCTAGAATGTTTAAAGCAGTGTAGAGTTGACTTAAACGAATGCTGCTTGATAATAATGATCTGGGAAACGATGAGGCTGATGGAGAAAAAATAGGGGGTTATTTATTTATATTTAGAGACATGGAACAGTTTTTTTCTTATACTGTATTTGCTTGTGACAAGATGGGGTGCATTCCGGGTAATTTGGCCATAGGCATTTCCTCATATGTCAAGTAAAGCCATGGACGTCATGGGTCATCAGCTTATTTATGTTGACAGCATGGCCCCAAAAACATCTCATTCCTACACTTATGAGTCTTAATTTCACCTTTATACCCAAAATCATAAAAAAAAAATTTCCATCAACAAAATAATCGGGTCCTATGAACGTTGCATGCATCAGGCTATTAACAATTATCATATATACCTAACATGTTTTGTCAATCTACTGCTGGAAGAGGGCCTTGCCACACAATCCAGATCGTGGAGTGTTTATGTTTACTTCATTGCCATTATATATTTTTAAAGCAGGTGTCTTAAGCTAAACTGTGATGTGGCATTTGCTGTCTATTGTTTATTGCGTTGCTGGGTGTGATTAATTGTGTGTTGAAACGCAGTTGCTGGAGTGCCATGAAGCCGGTTTTCTCAGGGTGTGGCCACTTTCAGAAGTAATGGCATCTCCCTGGCAACCCGTTGACGGGCCCTCTGTGTTGGCAACACCGATGGACTCTGGTCACCTGCATGTTTACTAATTGCAGAGGAACTCTTGCATACATAGCTTCACAACTCAGAAAGGTAAGCGTTTATCATATCACAATGTACCTCCACTTGTATGTTTTAATTCAGTATTTCAGATTAGTGCAAAACTGTGTATGCCTGGTGAGCTGAGTTAGATTCCCGGCCATGAGATATAAAGGAAAGATGTAAAATGTTAGGCCGAGACTACCATCCCTGCATATTCGTGGAAAGAAAAGCATTGTTGGGTAATATTGTCCCTAACCTGAAATGCTTAACCCCAAATCCAAACCGTAATCCTATCGTCTAACCCTACGTGAAAGCTGAGGAAATATTTTCCATTTATATTTTATCAACTTTAAACAGAGTTAAAACAGAAGGAATTGAAAAGGACCACTAATGGGTAAGCGCAAACCAAGGATAGTATGATTGGATGAATATCTGGCATGTCATTAGATCACAATATCAATAGTGTCAGAACTCACTTTCCTCACATATGAAACAACAGTAATAACTTATAAACATATATGAAATATATGAAACACTTTATATGTGCGTTGATGTTGCCAAGTAGTGTAGACTTAATATTCCCTCTGAAAGGGAAGCCGTATATGTTAATATTTGCAGTGCTTGCTTTTTCTATTTACATTTGCCCACTAACGGTTGGCACTCAATTTCAGAACAGAGGCAGGGATTCAAGTAAAAAAGACGACAGTGAGTTGGCATCTCTTCCTCCGTGGGAAAACTCGCAAGTCCTCGGTCACGATGGCCACCGTAATCGGGGAACAGATTGGCCGGGCCTACATCAACTTGGCTCGCCTGCCGAGCGTGCTGGCAGCGTTAGCCAACCGCCCACTGTCGTCGTCACCTTCGTCCCCCACCATCTCGTCAGTGTGCCGCACTTTCCGAGAAGTGCCCATCGTCTTCCACGAGAAGTACATCACGTCTGGCTACCGGCCGCCGGGCCAGCCGTGGCGCTTCTACGCGCTGAGCCTTTTTGCTCGGCACAACGAGATCGCCAACGTGTGGACGCATCTCTTGGGCACGCTTCTTGTGCTGGCCCGCGTCGGCAAGATCCCTGAGTTGGCCGCCACCCGCGCAGACATCGCGTCGTGGCCTTTCTTTCTCTTGGCACTTTCTGGAGCGGCCTACATGGCGCTGAGCACGGTGGCGCACCTCTTCCACTCGCGCTCCGAGTTGGCGCACTACGGCTTCTTCTTCCTCGACTACGTGGGCGTGGCGCTGTACCAGTACGGCAGTGCTGTGGGACACTACTTCTACTGCGCTGGACCCGGTGGCTTTGCGTTCCTCCGCGACGATGTCTACCTGCCAACTACCTGGATGCTCGCGTGGCTCTCCTGTGCTGGGTGTTGCTTCGCCAACCTGTGCTTCCGAATGCCCCACTCACTCGGGCGCAAGCTTTTTAAGGTGTTACTTTGTATGGTTTTTGCAATTGTGCTGTAGATGTGTTTTTGGGTTGTACCACATGTTCTTTGGCATGGTATTTCACTCTCACGTGCAGGGGGAGCTACTTCAGCAACTTTTCAATTCAGTTCCTTTTCCTGAAGAAGCTCCCAGCACATGGAGAGATAGGCCGGACGTTATACTGAAAAACATATGGCACAACCCGAAAACACATGGGAGATTTTTTACGTGGTAGTGGAGTTTGATCCTAGATGTGCAGTTCACATATGTGTGGTCATGAAGCCCATATAGCTTGAGCATTAACAAATATTAATGGATATAGTTACACTATTTTGTTCAACAACATTGTCTTTATCACGAGATTTAAAAACAATGGAGAATGAGAATAGCGATGGTGTTTTTCTCCATGGTGTGCGCAGGTGCTACCGTGTGCTGTGGCGTATGTGGTGGTCATCTCGCCCATCGCTCACCGTCTCGTCACATCAAGCCCAAACCACGATCCAGCATTCGTCTTCCACGTAGCTCAGGTGCAAGCTCAGGGCATCATCACATGAGCCTTCCACTTCTCCTTCATCAGAACCATCACCGTCACAAATTATCATCATCACCGTCATTGTGTGTGTGTATTCCAAGGTGTGGAGAGTAGTAGAGCGGTGGCACAGTGGTTAGCGCAGGGGTCAGTAACCAAATAACAAGAGAATATTTTTTTAGAATTCGGTACAAAATTCACTATTTCAAGAGCCGCAATGCATGTGAATACGTACATACATTACGTAACAAAACAGTTTGTAAAGCACCGCATGCGGCTCCGGAGTTGCAGGTTGCCGAACCCTGGGTTAGCGCAACACTACACTATGAACCTTGTAACCCTTGGTTCAATTTCCAGCCACGGCTAAACATTAGTGGCAAATGCGTCCGGACCAGCCTGGGCCTACCGAAAGTCGACCCAGTCTTAAATGAGCACCTGGTGTGGCGTATAAACATCAGCACTGGGGAGACAGATGGGCAGGCATGGTACTAATGGCCACAACCACCTCCTCTTGTGCCATACAGACATTAATGAATGTGCTTGCTAACAGCAATTGGCCTTGCAGTCTATGAATGCTATACGCAGTAGGGGATCTTTTTTCTTTTGTGTCCCTAGGTGGCCTTCTTTCTGCTGTCGGCTGTATTCTTCACATTCCCACTACCAGAGCAGCTAAAACCGGGCCGCTTCAACGTGCTGGGGCACAGCCACCAGATCTTCCACGTGCTGCTGTCTTTGTGCACGATCACGCAGATCGAGGCTGTTCACTTGGATTTTTTAAAGCGTCACAATGGAAGGAATCACTCCGACGTTGAGGTGAGATTTAGATTTATTTTCATTATCATGCATCTTGTACAACATTTTTTTCATAATGGTTAATTGCTCACTGTGTCAACTGAACCAATATATCAATAAGTCCCACACCTGATCATCTCAGATCTTCTTTAAAAACGGAAAGAAACACAAATTACCTTTAAGCACAACGTTCAGGTCCCCGCAGAATTTTTAGCTGATATGGCGATAGCATCTATACAACAACTCTTGATGAAACTTGTATTTTAAAATCACCATGAACCTTTAAAAAACAACTGAATCATTGAAAACGTTCATAATGACTCATTTTAACCCGATAACTTCAGAGATGTATTCTGAGATTTAATGGAAAACTCTGAACAAAATGTGTTAACCTAATTTTATTAGACTTTTTGAATGTCTGAAATATCTCAAGTTATTAGAGCCACAATAAAGTTTGGGTTTCTGAAAAGATGGTATCATACAGCTCAATTTCTAAAATAAGTCCTTTAGACATGGTCACGGAATAAAAAAATGTGAAAAGTGCACTAATCTTTGAAGAGCTAACTCGGTAATGTAGAGTCAACAAACTTTACCAAATTTCGTTCTCAAGCATATTTTTCGTGTTATAAAGTAACTAAACGTTTCGAAGGTATTGTGCAGTGGAGGCCACGTTTTTATAATGTCCTCTTATGACACTGGACCTAATTTATCTACACCACATTGACATTTACAAGTGATACACTTGTGTATTTTTAAAGGGTTTTACAGTCCTGTTTGTGTACACAATAACTGGCTCTTGATACACTTTTCTTTTATTCTCATTAGTTCCTCTGCTCAATGGCAGTCATTGGCTTGAAGTAATAAACTATATAGCAACCTCATTAATGACAGGTGACTCGCCAATATTCTTTTACAATTTAGTCTTTCACAGGCCATTAGTTTGTAGAGCTGCATAAAACATGTATTAGATGGTTCAGGATTTGGTTTACTTGGAGAAATAAAATACATCAATTTGGGAACGTTTACACATCGATATTTCTGTATATTATCGGGTGATGCGAATTATGCAATTAAGTGAAATTTACTATTTTCATGAAAACTATTTTGCATATGATTGGGACCGACAAATACAACCTCTGGTGATGGATTGCATTCCTCTCTCAATCCAGTTGAATCGGTTTCTTTCACTAGATTACTTCTTGACTACACAATGCCCATAAATCAATGTAGAATCTTTATTATTATGAATTATGAATTATAGAATCTTACAGAGCCTGTGCTTCAATATTTACTGGTATTGACCTCGGGCAATGACATTCTAGCCCCCTCCCAAAAAACAACACACACACACTGAAGGGCTCCCACGTTTCAATAGAGCATCATTTGAAGCACCTGCCATATCTTGCACCATTGTCTCATATCACAACAACAGGAGAAATTGTAATTAACCGTTGAGAGTTGGTGTTTTCCTCATTCCCCAGGTGAGGTGGGCTCTGATGTCCTTTGGAGCGCTGGCTGGACTCAGCATAGCCACTGCTGCACTGTGCACTTTACAGATGAGGAAGCAGCTCGCCAATAAGGACAAGTAGGGAGCTTTCTGTCTTGTCCTGAGGCTCATAGATGTTTCAACAGCTTAAGATTTGCACGATCAGGGCATGAAGGTACTTGCCCCCACGATGCTCTGCGGGGCATGTGCAGTTACAGTGCGTATGGGAGGGGGTTAATGGGTGAGCATATATACAGCTAGGGCTGCGATTTTGGCACGTAGTTCATGGTGGTCACGAATATTGTGAATTTGAATATAAAGTTCATTTAAAATTGAGATATGTCAGGGTAGGGGAAGGGGGCATTGCTCCACAGGATTTTGTGAAATTTCTGTCATTTTTCTTTTGCACCTCAAACGTAAATTCTGCTAAACATTACAATGCCAAAATCGTACCCTTATGTATAACACCTTAGTAAGCGCACAGTACATTGGTGAGTGTGTGCATGTTCTTTCAATGAGCGGAGGTTTGCACCTCGTGCAACATGCATGGGTTATTGTCTCTGTGACACGAGAGAGTAATTGACAAACACTCAGTGGGTGTATCTCGAGAATGTATGCATGTTGAACTTCTTTCGCACCGTACGTAGTCAACCGTGATAATGCAGGTGGAAGGACAACAAAAAAATATGGTAAGAATGTGCTGGGTAAGTCTGTATTAGTGTATTGTGTATGTGTTGTACATTGTGTCTTCAATACCGGGCAAGTTCCTGTTATTTCCATGAAGACCAAACTTTAGCCAAATTTACAGCTTATGTTGTTTACGTTGCTCGGTGTAAAATGATTTACATTGGAAAAGAAATATGAGGAAAGGTAAGAAGAATACACCACTGAAATCAATGCAAATAAATCACAGGTGAATTCGCGGAAGTCGCAATCCAATACCAGAGTGGTTGCTGTACGGTGCTCGACTAAGACTGTAACTGGCGGACGACGTTCCAGCGCAGCGTGGAGATGCAGTGAACAATAAGTCATCGCTTTGTACGATGTTCAATTCTTCTTAACGTTTGGAGCACGGTTTTTCATCAAATTAAAATACATATTTAGAGGCACCCCATAAAACGCCATTATATGCAGGAAATTGCATATTCACCCATGTTATTTCCATGAAACACTGTAACACGGTACAGTACTATATAGTAAGACAGCCATTGTACTGGCATTTGCTTGTGAGATTGAGAAAGTGTGAATTAATGAGCGTGAACCTGTGGAATTGTGGGTTTTATTTGTGAGCGAAAAGCTATTGTGTGATATATTGCAGACTGGACAGTGATGTGTGGTTGTCATTACTCTAGTGAGAAATTGGTAGTGTGTGCGTGCATGCATGTGACATTAACACGAATGCAGTGTGCTATGTTAAGTAGTAGCAAGTGACCCACACGTATCCGTGTTGGTCCCAAGGTGAATGCGTGTAACTAGTAGCCCATAAAGGGTAGCTTGAAAAATGTGTAAGCTGGTAACTGAATGCACATTTTTGTCTGATAACGGAGAGCCAGTAAGAATGTGATGTGGATGGGAAGTTATTGTGCACGTGTAACGTGACACAGCCACACAGAAACGACGCCATCTTGAATGTACATGTGAATTCATTGAAGGAGTATGATGCACTGGTGCGTACATGTTTTGTGCTTTGGCATGTGAATTCACGAGCTTGAACGTGATGAGAATGGGACATTAGTGAGGTCGAGGGCATGGCGTGTGTTACCCATTGGAGAGTAGTTTACGATTGTCATGTGCAATGACGCGCACACGCTAACAATTTCTGTGTTGAGTGGGTGGCGTGATGGAAGGCATATTGCACAGGTGTGTGTGTGTGGGCCGTTGATGGGGAGTGTGTTATACATGCCATTAAATGGGCCATCGGTACACTTAACAGTTAATAACTAACACTGACGAGTGTTAACAAAATTTACATTTTATTAAGCAATTCTTTTGCATGTGTTGGCTGCATGCGCAAATGTATTAATGATGCAACTTAGCCTAAAAGGAATTTGAAGAAGCATTTTGAATAGAGTGCACTATTAGCAACGTTGTTACTACAGATGTATAGAGTTATAACTATACTGTATACGTACAGTAATCTTGGTGTGCACATATATTTATATACAGTGTATACTCTTAATGTGCAGTATACAGCAGTGATTCTCAACCTCATCTTGTTGGACTTGGGACCTCTTTAAACCACTACTGAAATGCCACTGAACCTGTCAACCTGTATTTGTAGCCAAAGCAAATAATTAGACACCATATTGAGATTGGTGTAGAAGCACAGATAAAATAAAATCACCACCTACTTCATTGTAACGCCGCTTCCAGCTATGCCAGTGAAATTTGTTTTTGCACTATCTTCCGAAGAAGAATCGTCACCCAAAATACCCTTCCATGACAGTATTGTACGCCACACGCCTTGCTGTTATAGAGTGGTGTCAATGACGAAGGTGGTGAGTTGCTCTGACAGTTGCATCGTTGGTTAGGGTTGGGGATTAGTATAGTAGCTGGTGTATAGATTAATTGCAACCTCCTTGTCACTTTCATACCCCTGCAAGATCCTTTGGTCTTTCAGTGACCCTTAATGATACCTGCAGCCCCTTTAGGGGTCTATGGAACCCTGGTTGAGAACCCATGGTATAGAGCAAAGTCCTTTATAGCATATGCAACTAATTTCAACCTTTGACTATGTTAATATCAATTATAATAATAGCTTAATAGGTAAAGTTAAATATGTTTTCCTTAACTGGAAAGGTTTGGCCTTGTTGCTGAGTGTTAATTATCAGCCTTGATAATAATTAATGGTCATACTCTTTGGTTCTTTCGGTAAAGTCACGTAGGTAGAAAAAATAATAGCTCACGACGTTTCGATCGCCACACATGCAATCGTCTTCAGGTGGGTCATTAATATCGGTTTCCCATCATGTTTTTTTTTCATAGGAATAGGCTGACTTGTAAGCAGAACACCAGAGGTGTGTCAGTTTTACAAACAGATTTAGGAAGACGAACCCGTTTTATAATTTTCCTATTATAACACTTGTACACATTTTGTTAACGGAAATCACTGGAAAAAGACGTGAATATCAAAGACATATCAATGATCATAACCGAGCCATTAATTATGACAAGACATTTGAGTCGGTGTAAATTGATGCAATCATTTCTCTCGCAAACTCGAGGCCTAAAGACATTTTCTCAGAAATAATAAAATCCCGATTATAAGGATGGAGCAGCTTCACTTGAGGGTGGATGAACAAAGTAACAAAATGCATGCAAAATGGGGAGTCAAGGTGACACAGGTGTCAGTCATTCAGAGCTGCATTAGAATGTTTACTGAACATCTTATTGGAAAAATGTAATGCTTAAATACAGAGACTACTCTACTTACGAACATTCGACCTTCGAACTTTCAGGTATATGAACAAACCTGTCCGCATGTCCGGTTGTCTGTTCGGATCGTGTACAATATGTTTGGATCGAGAGGAGTAAAGTTGGACTTATGAATAAATCTACTTACGAACAGAACTCTGGAACCGAACTCGTTCGTAGGTAGAGGAGTCCCTGTATAGGCGATGTCATAATTACGAGATATGGAAATTAACACTAGGAAATTATAGAAGAACGTAAGTTTAACAAATCTGCAAAGTGGGGCTCGAGATAAATGTGCAAAAACGAAAGTCATGTACATTAAGCGTGCTGAACAGTAAAATGTTATCTGTCGGACAACTGAAAACGCTTAATTTGGGATCAAAGCGATAAAATAACACGGATGAGGGCAGGTTGGAGTGCTTTTTGGAAAATGAAAAACAACAGTGTTTCTATACTCTTTGGTTCTTTCAGTAAAGTCACGAAGGTATCAAAATAAATCACTACGTTTCGGGCGCAACACAAGCGTCCATCAGGTGTGTTGCGCCCGAAACGTGGTTTATTTTATTTTATACCTACGTGACTTTACCGAAATAACCAAAGAGTATGGATTCCTGCGGTCACGAAAGCTTCAAATCAAGTGTTTTTCTAAAGAAGACGGGTTTTAATCGGTGCACTGTATATAACCTGCTATGGGCACGGATGAGTAACGTGGACATTGACCAAAAAGAACAAAAGCTGAAAAGTGCACAATGCATGGAGAGGTGTGCATGTTTGGGGTTACGTTGAAAGGCAAAAAAGGAACGTGTAGATTAGAGAATGTCTGCAAAGTTAAAGACATTTACTGTAAACAAAAAAAATGGGCTTGGCCCAGTGCATGACTTCATTCGGGATGCTGGCCGGTGGTTGAGACTCAAGATAACAGTATGGCTCATCACGTCTGCACTGCTTGTCTTTAAAATGCAGCGTAGCGAGCCGGGACTTCATCCGTATGATTAATCTGAGTGGCGTTATAGCCCATTGCATTTGCACCCTTTTATAACTGGAAAGCAGTACACGTATATTAACGCCTTTCATTTACGTTATTAATTTACGAGAGACGTAGTTACACTGGATTTTGTTTTACATTTTGTTGTGCTTCATTAACCATTTGAGATTATATCTTTTTTTGCAGTGGAGAATTGGGAAACCATAACACATGGTCAGATAATTTTGTATTTCTACAAATGCAGTACAATTGATGTGATAAAGATTTGAGTGGTTTGTGTCCGGGATTAGGGAGTTTGATGGTTAAGGTCAGTGGTTCCCAACCTTTCTGGAGCCGCGGAGATGCTTCAGCTCTCAAAACGTTTTGCGAACCATCTTCCGCCAATTAAAAATGTCTAAAAATTACTTCGATAAGCGTTGTAAAACGTTACTTAAGAAACCATCTTCGATTGTTAATATTTTATTGACTAGTCTAAATAGTTGTGCAATCGACCACGAACAATATGGTGTTTTGTGAAATTATCTGAATGTCCGTAGTATCTACCCGCGACAGTTCCGTGGGGCCGCTTTTCTGTGGCCTTGCAGACCACCGTTGACTCGCAGACTACAGGTTGGAAACCACTGGTTTGCACCACACCTGGACCGGGGGCTGTAAGATTGATGCCCTTGCGTCCAGGTGCGACGGCCGCATAGCATCACACGCGTGGCTTGCATGACGTGACGCGTGGCATATACCTGCACTAAAACAATAAAATGATGCGCATAGGTTTCTATTTGCCTCGTGTCTTTGTAGAAAAAAAAAAACCCATGCCTTAGTAATAATACATCTAATTTCCTAAGTTACATCGTGGAGGAAAAAAAAGTCACGGTGATTTATTGCTCAACTGAGCATTGAAGCAGTTCTCATTTATTGCCAGCCCTGAACCAGTGGTGGAAATTCCATGTTCCTGTTGCATGGGCGAGTATATCCATAAAATGGTATAAATTATACTCTTTGGTTCTTTCGGTAAAGTCACGGAGGTATAAAATAAATCACGACGTTTCGGGCGCAACACAATAGTCCGTCATCAGGTGGGAAAGTGTGGTTTGCTGCTGAGGAAGCTGAAACAGTCTGCCGCAGCTGAAACAGTCTGCTTCAGCAGCAGACCATTGCTTTCCCACCTGATAACGGACGCTTGTGTTGCGCCCGAAACGTGATTTATTTTATACCTACGTGACTTTACCGAAAGAACCAAAGCGTATGGATTCCTGCAGTCACGAAAGCGTCAAATGAGGATTGAATGGTATACATTTTATTGACACCAGAGGGATGATGGGCTGTGTCAAGCCTCAACCAGGATTGAATTTGCAACCTTCAGATTTGTGAGCTACTCACTTTTGCTGAGCCACTGATTTTTAGCCATTTGTATGATTAATGCGGCACCACCACGGTAGGTTTTTGCAAATTGGTATGCCGTGTAGTCAATTGTCGGCCCCATTTTACAAAATGTTTAGTTTATATGGTATTTTCCTGTTTTTAGGTGACTGCAGTCCGATAATCCCTCTCAATGCTTGAATTCAGCGCACAACCCCCAAAAAACATGTTTAGTTTAATGTGTAAACATTCAGATAATTTCCTATTGGTGACATCAATAGCAGTTCACCCACGGTGGGCATGATGCGTTAAAAGAGGACTAACAGCACGTGAACAAAAATCATACGATTTCAGCACAGCTATTGTAACAATATTCTATTGGACTGTTCTATTACACTACATGTGTTTTATACCTGGAACTGTCTTAATTCCATTCCTATTTGTAATACTAATGCTTTTGGGGCAAACAAACCGCATCCGCACAGACCATGGCAGATGCGGATAGCTGATGCACGAATGGAAAATAAAAAAACGCTCCAGTGTGCCACTGGTTGCACGTAACATGGAGTATATAACGACTCAATGCGCGATTCACAAATACGAAGGAGGCATCGGTGTGGTACACTCCACTACTGACACATTTATCTGGCTCAACCAATCGTAAAATGATCGTTGTTGCTCTCCATGAACATCAGCCGTACGAGGAAAATATAAATGGTGCGATGTGCGGAATTAAAACAATTACGCCAGCCGTTGGAATAGACCACTTTTCTTGTAGGCCATTTCCACATCTGATGTAAGCAACTACTGCTGTTGCATTCGTGACATTGGTTTCCCATTGGACTCAGACTTGCCTCAAGTGGTTGAGGTGCGAATTGGTGATGCCGTATTACAGCGCAGAGAAAAGCCAGTGAGGGCTAGCGACACTTGGCGATGAGCATAAAGTCTGATGTCACCCATCACTGTCGCAATTCCTTTGCGCCCGTGGTCATGTGTGCGGTGCATCGTTCAAACGGTTGAATACACATCGCTATAACGGTTCATTACACCACTACAATGGACGATCTGACGGTTCTTTGTGCTTTCCCGAAGACGAATAGAGCACCATCATCAAAATCATTTTAATCCACATGTCCACCACTGGCATTACAATATTAAGAGATTTCCTCCGGCAAAAATTAGCGCTGTCATTTACTGCATCTCTACTCCAATATCAATAACACCGACATCATGTCCAACATTACTATTGTCTATTACGGCATACGTTTTATGTACTTTCGGTAACGTATTGTACAAATAAGGTAGTTAAAATGTAAGCGCTAACATAAAACGTAGTTGAGCCCACCAAACATCAGTGCGTTACACACATCATTGTTTCGAGTCATGCCACGGGTTTTCATGGAGAATGAATTGGGGGTGCAAAGTATTCAGGGTGCAGCAATGCTCCCGATTGAACGGTTAATGTCGATTCTCAATCTCAAGCCATAAGGATTGAATCGCATGTGTATATTTTCAATTGGTATATGTTGCATTTATGAATATACATGGACTAGATCGTGGGCAGCAGTGGGTATTATCCTGTACTTCCACGCGCCCCTGCCCTCACAAACCCATGTTGACTAGCGTGGTGAAGTATGGTCAAATAAATCACTCGTGACCTGGACGGTGTGGAAAGAACCTCATCCAGCAGTGAACTAACGAGGGCTGTACATGTGCTTATGTTGCTTGTAATGAAGTCACGTGGCCCCTACAATACTGGTAGCTATATTCGCTACAGTAATACTGCTTAGGTTTTTTTGCAGTTGCGCCGTAGAGCACCGTAAGTTCTCTCCCTGTGGACGCGTGGATTTTTTTCAGGGTCCTTCGGTTTTGCCCACCAGATTTAGAAATATGCGTTTAGATTATTGGGCTGCGACTCTAAATTCCCTCATGCTGATGATTGATATCAGCCACTTTGATGGCCGCCTGTAAAAAAAAAAGAGCTCATAGTCCAGTGATATTTACCTGGCAAATTAAAAAAAAAAGCTCTAATGAACCTTCAGGTTGAATCGCATGCTGCTCGGCTTGACGTTCCCCTTTCACTCCGCGTGCCGGTGAGCTTCTTCTGAATGCAGTCCCTGAAGTAGCCCCCAAACATCGTGGAGCGAATTCGGTTCCCGAAAGAAGCTCCCATGCGGCACGGGGAGGGGAACATCGGACGACATGCCGAACAATTCGCGGTACCAACCCTAAAATACATCAGAGAGCTGCACAGCTCAGGGTAAAAAAAAAAGATAATTTCTTCAATAGCAACAATTCGCTGACTCATAACGGTACGAATAATTTTTACACCCCTGACGGACGTGCATTTGTGTTGCCGACGGTCATCGTGATGGACATGTCGCGCGTGTGTGCATCCGCCGTGCACCGTCAGAAGTCGGCGGGACGAATCATCATGGTGGAGGCTTTGAGAGAGTAGCTGGCTCCACGCCAGTAGTGCCACTTGATTCCGTTAAAGTGGCCGTAGTGGGAGCCCTTTGGGAAGAACTGCCCGTTGAGGTTGGAGGGCCCACATGCCTCAAACCACCAGCCTACCGTGCACACAAAAGGGAAGCAAAAATGTGAAAGTGCACCCTTGCAATAACTAGCTCCAATCATCGCTGGCAGAAGGGCCTCCACTAGAGGACGCTCTGGACAAGCCCCCTTCATAGGGTGTTTTGGCCGACTGATCGACGATGGATAGTGTGTTTTGAAAGAGGTGGGAGTACCCACACTTCATCTCACCACACGCAATCTGCCGATCAACTAAATGTGGTGTCACTATTTTTGAGCAGAGGCGAGGGGGTTATCAGAAAATAGCCGCCTTATCTCAACCACCCCCTCGGGGGATAGATCCGGATACCTCTGGGCGGCACGTCCACTATGCTTTCTTCCTCATCAACCCCGCATGACTAAATCACAGAGATCGCCACCGCAAATAACTCTGAAAACAACAAAGAGTTGTAGCTTTTTTCAGCGAAATATTGCTCCTTTCACAATGCTGCACGTTGCGGTCTGAAGCAGAATCAGAGGGGGTTTTCAACTGGAACCAGATGACTGACGTCCTCAATGTGTCTCAGGCGGTTTAAGCACAATTTAATCTGGTTAATGCGAGGATGGGTACTAAAGAGGCCTTGTCGCGTGTGTCAGATTTGCATCTGCAAGGTAGATAAGGGATGGTAGTGTTGGGATTAATCCCCATGTACACTTGGGCTTTGACCGTGTCCTCTAATCTCCTCCTACATGAGTGGTGTTGGTCACACATTCCAATACAGTATCCCCTCGTTAGTCGTGAGGGATACGTTCCAGGATATCAAGTTCGTGAATAATGAGGGAATACTGCACAAGACCCATTCAAACAAGAGTCTTGACATTCACGTGAGGCATTCTTGATTAAATCACAGTATTATTTTTGAAGAATGCAAGGAATGCCAATAGGTTATAAAAGTAAGTCATGAGGCTGATGGACAATGAGGTTGGGAGTGCAATATACGTATGTTGAACTTCTTTCGCACCTGACGTAGCCAACCGTGCTAATCGGAGGTGCGGGGAAGGACAACAAACTAAACATAAAAAGCAGTTCTAAACAAAGTAGTTTTCAATTTAGATTTAAAAGTGCATAGTTCCAGTGGCATCCTAATAAATAGGCAGGTACGTGCGCAGATTGTGGTGTGGCTTTGAGAATTATAAAAAGACAATTGTAAAAAGATCAAATCTACATGCTGCGGGGGGCATAGCTATCGAGTGTGCAGGCAGTACTACTGCACCGGGGCCCACAGGCCAAAGGGAACCCCGGGTGCTGAGAAATTAATGGAAGGAAATTTGTGATGTTTGGCCAATGCCATTTAATGAGTACATAATTGGTTTCATCGGGGAGGAAACCAGAGAACCTGGAGAAACCCCCCACACAGGAGGTTATTATTCCTTGCACCAATGGCCATGCCACCAAAATAATTTGTGACTGTTGGCAGTGGATCCAAAAGCACAAACAACAAAGAAACTCATCACATTCGTCAATAGCACTGTCTTGAAAGAAAAAGTGCATAACAGCAGGTGACATTTCGGGCAACGGCCCTTATTCACAGCACGTAGAGAGGACGTGCGAGCATAGAGAGGCCGCAGGCGTCTCTTTAAGGACTGGCTTCGTGTCGTTATTTATTAAGGACCCACCGTCTCGTTATCCCCGCATGCATCGCGGCTCTTGAAATATTGAGGTTTTTGTTTTTACATAATTCTAATAAAAATGGAACTTCCTGTTATTTTGGTTGTCGACCCCTGGGCTATTGGGAGGTTAACAGGAAGATCACGGAGTTGTTGTGAAGTACATGAGACCCGGGCTTCTCACCCCCTGAGCTCAGCTGGGCACATTTGCACTGGCAGCGGTCGTGATCCTGGTCGCGGGTACTGAACTCGGCACCCGACTGCGCCAAGCTGCTGTAGCGGCCGGCTGTACCAGAGAACCCACTGACCAGCAACCTGCATGCAACAGTGGACACGTGCAACAAAGAAAAAGAATCACCCATTTATCGCACATAAAACTGCTAGGGTCGGTGCTGTTAGTGAGCTTCCATTCAGGACAAAATGGCGTGAATAAATAAAATATCCCCCCTATAGCCTTAACAGACTGTTGAGGCAAGTGCTGTTAGCGAGCACCTATGAAGGCCGGCACGGCAACATGAGGTGGTGATGAGGGAAGCACCACACCCGGGCTTCTTTTGTCTCCCAAGTGTTAACACACCACAATCGGTACTTATTTAAGGCTGAGATGACCTAGAGGAGGCCCAGGAAATAATATGCCACTGTTGTTAGCCGTGGCAAATAATCTAACCTATGTCGCCAGCGTTCTTAGCATATCAACACAGATATGCAGATGCATATTATATTATATTCGTTAAACCAGGATGACCTCACCGAGTCTCATCGTCACGCCACCATCAATATTCCAATTGCATGCGCATGCACCTACTACCGGTCTTAATGTTTGTTCGCTACTCAGTTTTTTGTATAATACAGAAGTCAAAGCTGCATATCAGCACACCTCCTTGGCAGCAAGACCAGGTGTCCTTATAGCCAAAGTGTGCTTTTATCACAAGTTGCCCTCTTCCATCCCAGTCCCAGTGTAATGTAAGGATGTGTATGAGTCTTCTCCTTCTTAGGGTGCCACGGTGGATACAGGAGGTCGTGGGTTCAATCCCCACCCTTACGCCTGCTCTATATTTGGAGTTTGCATGCCTCTCTTCCCATGGTTGCGTGGATTTTTCTCTGGGTCCTCCCTCCACGTTTTGAGAAATGCGTTAAGATCAGTGGCGGCTCGTGACATGTCCACTCGTTGGGGCTGTTGTGAGTGACCTCTAAAAATATGGTGTTCTAATTGAGAGAAACCTCGTCATGCTATTGGCATTCCCGTGAAAGTGATATAACTGTCTTATCTACCAACGGTAGGCATTTATAAATAATACGAAATAAAATGAAAAAAACACTCAAATGTTGTCCTCATGACCCTCAAGTCCACACTGCACAACCCCTTTGACGCTGATAAAAGCCTCGAGCGTGAAAGCCGTGAGCTGCTATATTTCCACAGTGCAATCTCGCGTCGTGACATCGTCTCTCATTGCAGCCATGGGCGCCTTTTCACCGCCCGGAATGGATCTCAAACGCCATGTCTGAAATGCGAAGCTAATCGCAACGAATGAAGGGATATCTCTCAGTGGTTTCGAATATGAACAACTTAAAATGTTATCTTTATCAGGTAATTCAAGTTGAAAGAATCGTTATATATATTTTTTGTTAAAGACAACAAAACAATTTATAGAAAAGTCTCCAACGCCCCCTAGTGGACGAATCGCGCCTGGTTTCGAGTATTTGGCTGCTAGAAATGTCCAGGTGAAAAGCCACTTCGTTGAGCTATCATTTGTGGCCAGGTCGCTTCTGAGAAAAAAAAAGTTATATAGCTCACTGGGGCCTTAACTGGTAACATAAAAACAAAATGTTTTATTTAAAGCTTTCGTGAATGCAGTGATTCATATTCTTGGTTCTTTCGGTAAAGTCACGTTGAAGGGAAACAATAAAATAATAAAAAATATATAAAACAATACAATTCTCACGACTTTTCGACTGCAACACAAGCAGTCATCATCTGGTGTGAAAACCAACGCCAAGAACAAACCGCCACTTCTTTCAAATGTTCTTGCCGTTTACATTATGAGACCTTTGCCAGTAACAAGATATAGTAATAGGTTTTACCCTTTTAACTGGCACAAAAAGGGCTCTAAAGAAAGCCGTCTCGGGTGTCGACCAATCAAATTCAAGGACAGTGCATATTATTATCAGAGTTGTCTTTTTGTTTGCATTTTGACTGCTTGTGTTGTGGTTATTGCAGACATGATGCCTTGAATAAAGGTGTCAGTTTTTTTGTGCCAGTTAAAAGGGTTAAACCTATTACTATAGTTCTTGCCGTTGGTTTTCACACCTGATGATGACTGCTTGTGTTGCAATCGAAACGTCGTGAGAATTTTATTGTTTTATATATTTTTTATTGTTCCCTTCAACGTGACTTTACCGAAAGAACCAAGAATATAAAAACAATAGTTTTAGTTTAGTGCTTGGTAATCTACGCACTCGCAGCTCTTTGGCTCAAATGCACTCTGCCTTGCCTGACCTTGAACTTCCTTCAAGTCGTCAAGCAACATTTTTTCCGTTTCTGTATCTAAGCATCTTTAGCAAAATATTTTTTCAACAACTACCTTCACCATTCTTTCATGTCAGAGAGTGTGCCCTTATCCACATATTAAAAAATATATATATTTGTTAAAACTTCCTCATAACTCCGCACCACCGATTAGCATGGTTGGCTACGCACGGTACAAAAGGTCAACATACATACCATGATTTCTCTCTACTCTATCCAACCATATTCTTGGTTCTTTCGGTAAAGTCACGTAGAAGGAAAACAATAAAATAATAAAAATATAAAACAATTGTTTTATATTTTATAAAACAACCCACATGATCGGCATTACTATGGAGAGGTCTTAATTTCAGCAGCGGTGGATTGACAGATTGATCCACGGGAAGGGAGTTTCAAAAACGTTGTGCTCTATACCAACCCAACCATCGACCTCCACAGTTGCTGGATTACAGGCGTGCATTGCATCGCCACCGCTATACTAATAATTATAATCACGTCTCATTTATAATACGTGCACAATTCGAGCGACGACGATCACAAGATTTCCCCCTGCTCTACCACACTTATGTTAGTTATCTATCCCCCCCCCCCCATTCTTCCCTACCCAATATGAGCTTTCGTGTTCTCGCTTTGTGATCCCCCACCTGGATGGGCAGGTGAGCCCGAATCTCCCCCCTTTCGTTACGCCGCCTGGCACGCCGACCTTTGGGTTTATGTTCGCGGCGGAGTTTGTTCCCCACACTCCACTTCTCCACCGGCACTGCGATAGGTGCTTTGTGTAATGAGCTCGCGTTGTGTTGCACTTAAAAAAAAACACAATAATACATAAACTAAACTAAAAACGTTGATTAAATAACATGCAACTCGTAGGCGGAGTCTGACTTCTGTACAGGGTGCTTCAGGAAAAATGTCAACACTTCTGAGAATTTGCAACAGCACCACAAAAAAATGTGCTTCCGGGCTCTGGAGACCTAAAGAAGATTCCAGGCACACGTTGACAATGATGGTTAAACAAGTGGAGACTCTTTTTGAAGCTATTAACATATATTTGTTATCATCTTACAGTGTAGTATCCGTTCTTTTTCCATTAAAAACGATAGTCCCATAAAAAGTGTTAACATTTTTTTAAGCACCCTATATTTTGGAGGTGGGGTGGGGGGAATCGCGGGTACAAAAAATAAATAAAAATTGTAAACTACTGAGACTAAATTAATAAAGGTGTCCGTGTTTTTGGGATGGCTTTGCTCCCAATCCACCAAACTCAGCACGTGGACTGCAACGCGCCCCCTCCCCCCCCAGAAAACAAAAATTGTGTGCGCACCTGTATCGAGCAGCCTCCCCTCTCAGGGTGAAGCGAGCGTAGGAGGCGTACGCCTGGTTCTCGTCCCAGTCCCAGAGGAGGATGCGGAGCGCTTGGGGTCGCCTGGATGTCAGCACGTGGACCGCCTCGTTGCCCAGCCAGTACTCTCTGTCCGCACTCCCGAAGCCCTTGCAGTCAATGCAAACAACACGGAGCGTGACTCGGTCGTTCAAAATCCGAGACGCTCGCGCACGCGAAACGCGTTGGCAATGCGTGCGCACACATACGTACAATGGACGGGGGGGGGGGGTGGAAATCCATCACAATAGGAAAATGCGTGCGGGCTGGAAGAAAACGGCCACATGTCTCGACTCTGTTTGAGTTCGTTTGTGGCTCGAACAACGATCCGGCCGCACGTTCCGCTCTGTCGAATTAGTGCTTTAGAAAAGGGCTGAGAACATTGTACACGAGTTCTGGTGATGATAGGGGCATGTCCATGCAAGGTGGCATGATGGCAGACATGCCTTCGTCTTCTTGCTCTCTGCGAGAACACCTTTTGAGCGTGACCAGTGCTGAATATCAGCTGGAAAGTCAGGAGCGTTGTTTCATAAATTATTTTGGCACCCTGAAAACATCTGTCCAGCCACATTTTGTCTTAAACTTGTTTCGAGAACTAACGTAATATACAGGGCACAATAATACAGTGCAAATAATGGACGGCATTCCTTGTACTATACTGTCGTGGTAGTGCCTTACACCAATAATCCCGACTCCAACATAGCCTAGCAGTGTTCCAGAAAACATTGAATGAGACATTAATTCTTTAAAGGGGCATACCAAAATGTATCAGTGACAGTAAACCACGCGGAACACATTCCAGATAATATAATAACCACTTGCTATGAATATTCTTTGTTTTTTTCGGTAAAATCACGTAGATAAAAAAACTGAATAAAAATATATTTTTATTCACATTATTAATAAAAATAAAAAAATAAACATTCAACATAGTTCTGCTGTAGCTCTCACACCCCCCCCACCTCGAGGTATGCAAAGAGGCTGCATATTCTTCAGGGATTTTCGTCAAAGTGGCGAAAGTTTGGACAAAAGCCTGCCCATGTACTTCACTGGGGGGAGGGGGGGGGGTAAGGGATGCCACAGGGACGTGTAAATCACGCACGCGCAGTGCCCCTTGGTGGCGCAAATCGGTATAGCATCCCGCATTGCTCGCCCCCCCACCACCACCTGAATCGATCGGAAATCTCGACACGTTCATAAATAACACTCACTGTCTTAAAATAATATTAATATCATAGGCGACGTTTCAGGCAATATCCCTTCTTCATAGCGCCCAAACGACTGCAATGGTAAGCTGCGCCAATAGCAAAGTAGTTTAATCAGTAGAAGACCAATGATACATGGTAACACAAGCGATTAATGCCCTTTTGAATAATATAATAAAATATATTATTTTACGCCAATGGTTATTTTGTGTTATAGAATGCTGCATCGAACTAGGACAACGTTTTTTTAAAGGCCAGTTCCTGAAAGTTTCATCAGAATTTGTTGAAGCAAGCCTGATTGCTGGTGATACACTGTATGTCAAAATTGTTTCAGAGTTTTGCATGTACTGAACCAATGCTGCTGAAATTGTGCACTCCCAGAATGCCTTGTGGTTGATGGGAAGTGTGTGTTTTTGGAGGGACATGGATAGGAGCTATATTATCTGTTTATATAGTTTACGATAAAAGTTAGCACAGTCGTGGCAACAGAAGAGGCAGCGGCTGCAGCAAATGTACATCGTTAGCAGAAAACAGCAGTGATACATAACTTATATAGTTGCAGGGCCGGATTAAGGCATGTGCTTTAGGGGCTGTAGCCCAGTGGCCTCCGCCAACTGGAGTGCCTCCAGAGATTAAGTGAAAAGTTTTTTCATTTGTGAATGCTGAATCAAACTTTGATCAAAGTTTGAAAAGTTATTTCATTTGTGAATGCTGAATCAAACTTTGATCAAAGTTTGAAAAGTTATTTCATTTGTGAATGCTGAATCAAACTTTGATCAAAGTAATTTCATTTGTGAATGCTGAATCAAACTTTGATCAAAGTTTGAAAAGTTATTTCATTTGTGAATGCTGAATCAAACTTTGATCAAAGTTATTTCATTTGTGAATGCTGAATCAAACTTTGATCAAAGTTTGATCAAAGTTTGATTCAGCATTCACAAATGAAATAACTTTTCAAACTTTGATCAAAGTTTGATTCAGCATTCACAATCAAAGTTTGATCAAAGTTTGATTCAGCATTCACAAATGAAATAACTTTTCACTTAATCTCTGGAGGCACTCCAGTTGGCAGAGGCCCCTACACTGCAGCTCCTAAAGCCCATGCCTTAATCCGGCCCTGTATAGTTGTAGTCTACGTGGTGGGCAGCAGAGAAAGCACTGGCACAAAGTCTGTTATACTGTACTTCTACGCTCTCACGTCTTGGCTCCCCGCCCGCACCAACCCGCACTGACCCGCATGTTGAAGTATGATCGAACAAACCTCCATGCCTGACATGGCATGGAAGGCACTCATCCAGCCTTGGATTGACAGAGTTGTACATATGCATGGTGAGTCATAGAAATATTGCTCCTGAAGTAGGCAGCAGCAGTATAGCAGTATTGGCAGGAATTGCGAGTCGTTACAGAAGCAGCAGTCCTGTGCCATGTTGAGTGAAAGCCAGTGTATGCCTTTGACAGAAATCCACTCCGGCATTGTGGGACATGTAGGCCTGGAATTGATCTGTGTCAAGCCGTCGAGAGAGGCTACCAATTTGTAGTCCTGCCAGGGGCGGTTGAAGTTGATATGTCCATCTTCACGGCGCTGAAAGACCGTCCAGCCACCGCCCTCCGTCTGCATGTCGCAGTACACCTAACAGCAGCACAGTCACGCAGCATATTATGGTTACAACTCGAATATCCACGGGCATACGATATTGGTTGTCGCCTAACGGTGAGATCGTGGACGAATGGGGCGCCGCAGTGGCGAGATGTTAACTACTTCGCCTGGTATACAGGAGGTCGTGGGTTCGATCCTGACTGACACCTGTATATTTTGAGTTTGTTTGTTCTCCCCATGGTCGCGTGGATTTTTCTCCGAGTCCAACGGGTTTTCCCGCCACATTTATCAACATGCTTTCAGAGTATTTGGCTACGATAAATGTACACGTGATAAGCCACTTCGTTGAGCTATGATTTGTAGCCAGGTCGCTTCTCAAAAATAACTATATAGCTCAGTGGGCCTTACCTGGTAAAATAAATCAATAGTTTAATTTAGAATGCACATACTTGCTATGCATTCCTGATCCTTACTTGTTGAGTACCATTGCCCACATGACTGAAAATGTTAAAGTTTTAGCTTATTTTTCTGAACCAAATGAGAACGCAAGACACCAGGATAGCCTCATTTTTTCAGAGTGATCTGAGGCATTAGTAGGCCAGCAGGGGGCGATGATTGCAATGTGAAATCCCAATTGAGTTATTTGGACCCTGATTCCGTTACACAATGGCCTGCTCTTGAGAATGACGTCAGGGGATCTTTATATCCTCTTTGGTTCTTTCGGTAAAGTCACGTAGAATGAGAATAAAATAATAAATTGATAAAATAAAATAACACAATAATATTCTCACGACGTTTCGGCCACAACACAAGCGGCCTTCATCAGGTGAAGGGGACGAGACTGTCTACACATGTTTAGCATTGTCGTGTTTTTGTTTTATCCGTGTCAACACTCCTCTTCATTGGCCCGGATAATTGAGGATCGACAGAGTACTTGGTCAGCAAGGAGTTTCGTTGGATAATTAAACAGCTGAGGCAACATGATAGTTATCGAATGTACCAAGTTGCTGTTGCAGTGAACTTAGACGTAAAATAGTTGATGCGTATTTATCACACCTCCGATGATTACGGTTGGCTACGTACTGTACGAAAGAAGTTCAGCATACATACATTATATAAACATACAAATACATACTCTTTGGTTCTTTCGGTAAAGTCACGTAAGTATAAAATAAAATAAATCACGTTTCGGGCGCAACACAAGCGTCTGTCATCAGGTGTGAAAGCATACAAATACAATTTACTGTTCTTTTGCCAGCCGTCCACTCTTTCAGTAGTTAACCAGCCAACCAATCAATGATTTAACGAGCCAGCAAGGTGTTTTGCCAGCCGTCCACTCTTTCAGTAGTTAACCAGCCAACCAATCAATGATTTAACGAGCCAGCAAGGTGTTTTGCCAGCCGTCCACTCTTTCAGTAGTTAACCAGCCAACCAATGATTTAACGAGCCAGCAAGATGTTTTTTTTCCAGCCGTCCACTCTTTCAGTAGTTAACCAGCCAACTAATGATTTAACGAGCCAGCAAGGTGTTTTGCCAGCCGTCCACAAAACGCACAGCTCGTGCACCTTGAGCGTGTGTGAAGTGTTGAACACGTGAAGCACGTATATGCCACTCCTCGTCTGCCCACTGCGGTAGATCTCGGCACAGTCCTGATAGGGCCCACCAGGTCCTGCAGGGACACCAGCGGCTGTGGTGTCACGTCCGGTCTCGGCAGATGCCGTGGCCCCTCTAAGTTCCCTGGTAACCTGGGCACCTCTTGCTCGACCCTGGACAGCTGCTGCGAAGTAGATCAACTTGGTGGTTATCATTGTACGGTAGATTCATAATTATCATCAGCAGCAGCCATGATCAACACGCGCATGTTGCACTGCTATTATACAGCATCATGAATTGCGGTAGAATTTCGATGCTATTAAAAAAAACGCCATCTAATTTTACGTTGTTATATTGTAAAAGGGCACTTGTTTCTCCGATGTGCCCAATGCAGTGACCATGAATTTGATCTTATGAAACTAAGTGTCAACAGACACATTTGTTCCATGCTGCTTAAGCCTTAGTTCTGATGGTTAATCTGTCGAGTGTCAGTCCTCGTAACTGAGGGTCGATGCCCATGACAGATGCGTTACACATTTAGAGTCTCTCGCAGAGAGTCCTATCCAACTGCTCACATCGTCCGACCAGCTGATCCATTTCCTTCCTCTCCCCTCTCTTCTTTCACATGACACGACGCAAGAAAGGGTTCTGATAAACATTTAGAAAGAAAAATTGCAAGCAATAAAAAATACCCTACTTGTGTTGTGTTGAGATTTTCCTCCATGCAAGAGGCGGTTCTTGGGCTGAGCTTCATCACTGGACTGGTGGCGTATGGATACTTCATTGTTCTTATCATCATCATCATCATGAGCATCGTCATCTTCTTCATCATCATCATCATTGTCATCCTCATCATCCTCATCGTCATCATCATCTCCATCATCGTCATTCGTGGTCGTTGATGTATAAGGCTGCCGGTTCAAGATTTTCCTCCGAGTCACTTCACGCCTACTCTCCAGCTCCGTAACCTTCCTCTCCAAGTGCCTGCGGCAAAGACAAATGACAGCTGCTTCAGTGTACTTGGAAAGGTAAAGGTGTGCTGACATGGCAGTTGGGTCGCTGCATCATCATTCATCCTCAAAGTCATCGTTCATCCTTTCGCCATAGTGGCGAAATATTAACTCCTTCGCCTGGTATATAGGAGGCTATGAGTTCGATCCCGACCCTGTGACGCCTGCTGTATATTTGGAGTTTGCATGTTCTCCCTGTGGATGCGTGGATTTTTCTCCGGGTCCTCCGGTTTTTCCTTCCACATTTAAAAACACGTGTTTAGAGTATGTGGCTGCTATACATTTCCACGTGATAAGCCAACTTCGTTGAGCCATCAATTTGTTGCCAGGTCGCTTTTGATAGAAAAAAAAATCCATATAGCTCAGTGGGCCTTACCTGGTAAAATAAAAAAATAGTTTAATTTTAGTTTGTAGTTTTCAAAATACTCCACAACAAATTAGCTGATGACCTCCGTGACTGTGCTGTTTCACTGGAGTCCTCAATACATCACCTGAGAAATATCCTCTCTACTCTCCACGCAGCTAAGAGTTTGCTCTCTGGCAATGGTGAACGTTCATCTCGTGTTGCCGCCCCTTGCTCTTTTGGCACGAGCTCGCCTCGTCGTGTTGGCATGAATCCCTTGCTGTCTTCCGTGGCCTTTTTAAATTCCTGCCAGGATTTGTGATCTCCCTTCGATTGCACATTGCGGTTAGCGAGCCTCCCCTCCATCGTCCGCCCCTGCCCCCGCGAATTGGTGTTATATTTCTGCGTCACCTACCAGTGTGACTTGGATATTGTTTTCCTCGAATGTGTTTGCTAACAGTGCCTGCAAGCCAATTATTTATTTGCTGTAACTCACTATTGTTTTCTTCACCAAGGTGCTACCGTGGGTCATTTTCTTTTGTTTGGTAAAAACATTACGGCTGAATGTTTCTTACCCCCGCGTAAACAAAACAAATCAAATCGATCGATTAATATCTGCTGTACCTGTTGCTGTGCTGAAGGGTCTGAATGTTCCGTGCCTGTTCTAGAACCTTCTTCTGGAGGGAACGAGTGATGCCAGAGTGCCCACGCGCACCGCCCGCCTCTCGCACCGCGCTCTCCAGCTGCACTCGATGCACACAGACCAGAAATAAGCCGAGTGCGTTATGTACGTCTGAAAAGCGTGTTGCCAACATTGAGTGTTTTTTTTCTTCCATGTAGACAACAACTTGAAGCCTATCTACAGTATGTATGTAGAACTCTACGGTGTAAAATTGAGCCTGCACATTGGCTGATTTTGTAACTCCATCTCTGCGGTCGACATCCTCTCTTGTATGTATGTGTGTATGTTGAACTTCTTTCGGATCGTACGGAGTCAACCGTGCTCATCGGAGGTGCGGGGGAAGGACAACAAACTAAACACAAAAAGCAGTTCAATCTAAATTTAAATGTGCAAAGCTCCAGTGGCTTCCTAATATCGGAAGGAAGAACGTTCCAGACAGTGCCCAAACTCTTTAGATATCGAAAGCTAAGCAGGTTTGGGCCTGGACAACGCTTAGATGGGAGACCACCACGTAAACCAGGTTGTCATAGGTTTCTTCGTTGATGCGCTACACTGTCGTCAGCAGAGGTTAGAGAAGAAAAATCTAAATCCACGTTCCCTACTTTCACCAACCCACAACTGACTAGCTTGGTTGAAGTATGTTCACATAACCCCCAGGACCTACATGGTGTGGGGAGGCCCTCATCCAGCAGTGGACTGACAATCGGGCTGCACATGCACAAATAACATTAAACATATTATTATATTTTCTTTCAACATCCACTGATCTGATGTTGAAAACAATTTTTTTTCCCAGGGTTGACAAATGCTCAAATGACAGTTCTTGGAAGTTCATACTTAAGCCCTCCTAAATGATCGTACGCACAGAGGGGAGGGGGGACAGCTCATGATAGCCTTGACAGTCATATCTTCTCTAACACATGGCAGCATGTGCTCTTTTGTGCATTGTGCTGATAAGATGTACCAGTTGCTTAGCTAAAACCACAAGGAACACGTGACACTCAGCACTTGGTAAAATGCCATTTTAGTGACTGGAGCTATTCTAATCAACATTTAGCTTAACCCCCTAAGCTGCCCATTTACTTCTAATTGATGGTTGATTCCACTGCTGTAGTTCCGTGTTGGTTCTGCTACATCTTACTAAGTGCAGCATAAAAAACTACTGCGTAGTTTATTTTCACAATTGCGTTGTACAGCTCTTTGATGGGTTTTTTTTCTTCCAAATGTACCACACGTTGTTTTGGCACGATGTCCGATGTTTCACTCCACATGCTGGTTGGTAGCTTAACCAGTTTCTGAATAAGCTCCTAGGACGTGGAGCGAAACTTCGGACATCAATGACAAACGCTGCGCGGCACAGCCCCGAAAGCACATCGAAGCGCTCCGCAGACAAATGTCTCCTCCCGCACGGAAGCACAGCGAAGTGGCGATAGACCACACCTTAACGCTCATGGTCTTGCATATCGGTCCTGACCATTTGTTTGAGAGAAAAAAACAAAAACTCCATCTCAGCCTTGTATGCCAAGACAAAAACAAACTGTGTATTTTGGATACAATAATCAACATTTGTGTAACTAGGGAGTGGCTGGACAGCCCTCTTTCCAAGCATTTAATTACCGTTTTCATAATTATTTCCCAACTGTGCCAACAACCAGGCGCAAACAGTGAAGCAAAGCTGCATATTCTCAATGGGAATTAATACTACCCAAAAGTTATTTGCAACCCTTTGTATATCCACCGCTGGATGAAGGCTCCTCCACATTTCACCACGCTAGTCAGTAAAGGTTAGTGAAGAGTGTGGTGGTCCAGGAGTGGTTAACTGTGGCCAGGAATCGAACTCAGGTGATTGGGTTCATAGAACAGCATACACATGCCACCGTACCCACCCCCAATGTGAAATAATCTTAGAAAATATCTCATTTGGCTAAACCTAGTATTCAGTGCTATGATTGTTTATCTGTCCAGTTATTACAAAGGGCAGAGTGGTGGTGTAATAATTAGCGCACTGCGCTATTAATTCGACAGCCAAAGTCGAATTCCCATACATGTCTACCATTAGTGGTGAGTGATCTCTGACCTGCTAATGAGACCCCCCCCTAACTCCCAACAACCCACACTCATCAGTGTAGTGAAGTATGGTCAAACAACCCCATTGACCAACGTGGCTTTGGAAGGCCTTCATCCAGCAGTGAGTTTACAAAGGGCTGTAAATTATGAATTAGTTTTTTATGTTGTCTGCCGGCCAAGTAGCCCTTGAAAATATCTTCTTAACTCAATGGGCTTTACTCGGCAAATGAACTTGATTCTTACCAGAATATGGTCATCTTATTGTTCTCTGGCGAATTGTATTATTTGCAGAATAATTTTACCTTTAGCGTGAAAGCAAAGCCGATTTCTTTTTTTTAACAAATCCAGAATGCATCCCTAAAGGTATTGACTCTTGTTATCTGTTTTGCATTCACAATCTCTTGCATTCACAATCTCTTGCATTCATAAATCTCTTGCATTCACAAATCTCTTGCATTCACAATCTCTTGCATTCACAATCTCTTGCATTCACAATCTCTTGCATTCATAAATCTCTTGCATTCACAATCTCTTGCATTCACAATCTCTTGCATTCACAAATCTCTTGCATTCACAATCTCTTGCATTCGTAATCTCTTGCATTCACAATCTCTTGCATTCACAATCTCTTGAATTCACAATCTCTTGCATTCACAATCTCTTGCATTCGCAATCTCTTGCATTCGCAATCTCTTGCATTCACAATCTCTTGCATTCACAATCTCTTGCATTCGCAATCTCTTGCATTCACAATCTCTTGCATTCGTAATCTCTTGCATTCACAATCTCTTGCATTCACAGTCTCTTGCATTCACAATCTCTTGCATTCACAGTCTCTTGCATTCACAATCTCTTGCATTTACAATCTCTTGCATTCACAATCTCTTGCATTCACAAATCTCTTGCATTCACAATCTCTTGCATTCGCAATCTCTTGCATTCACAATCTTATTGAACACAATCCAGGTCGACTATCTTGCAAAACGAGATCTCGAGGGAATTTTCCAGGTGAAATATTTGAATTCATAAATAAATATAAACCTATGGCGGCCTGCTATGCCGGTCGCCAGATCGGACAGCAATCACCGATATTGTATGTATATGCCTCAAATTTTGGAAGAAGTCACCCCCTGTGAGTTGCTGGCTGAGGTGCCATCTGTTGAGGAAGTACTGAAGGCGATCCAGGGTCTGAGACCAGGAAAGGCACCGGGCAGAGATGATCTCCCAAGCGAAATGCTGAAGGAGGGTGGCGTTTGTGCACAGACTGCCCTATATGACATCATAACAACAGTCTGGACCACTGGACGGGTTCCGCAGGATTGGAAGGATGCCCTGGTGGTCCCCCTTTTTAAGAAGGGCGACTGCACAGACTGTAACAACTACAGGGGCATCTCACTCCTCAGTGTACCGGGAAAGGTCCTGGCAAGGATTGTTCAACATCGCCTTGCCAGGCACGCTGAGGAGAGGCTTGCGGAGCCCCAATGAGGTTTCAAGAAAGGGCGGTCCTGCACAGATGCCATATTTTCTGTCGTCTGCTACAGCAGAGGTGTAGGGAATTCCAACAAGACCTACATCTCTGCTTTATTGACCTGGTCAAGGCCTATGATACCATCAGTAGGCCTGGGCTCTGGGTTGTTCTTCGTGCTTTTGGAGTACCTGACCCTCTGCTCACGATCATTAAGGGCCTTCATGATGGTGAGCGGGCCTGGGTAAAACTACGTGGCCGGGAGTCAGAGCCATTCCCTGTACACCTTGGGGTGCGACAGGGATGTCCTCTGGCTCCCACATTATTTAACATCTATTTTGACCACGTAGTTCGTGAAGCCTTCAATAGCTGTGCCGGGGGAATCTCCGTATGGTACAGATATAATGGGAGGCTGATCGATGCCCGGGTGCGGTCAAGGGATGGCTCCCTATTGCTCAACCACGTTATGTATGCTGATGATTTGGTAATAGCTGCTCATTCAGAGGAGGAGTTGGAGACGCTGCTGCTGAGACTGCAGCATGCCACTAAGAGGTGGGGCCTTACCATCAGCCCCACCAAAACTAAGCACCTGCCTGGGTATTTTGTACCATCGGACACTCCACCCCCACAACTCCCAATCGGTGATGGGGCTGTTGTGGAGAGAGTGGAGAGTTTCCCATACCTGGGCAGTGTGCTTATGACTGGCTCCAGTTTAACAGCAGAGGTCTCACTCCGAATCAGTCGAGCGGCAATATCTTTTCATCGGTTGCGTAACGCTGTGTGGAAGCTACCTGGTCTGTCGCTCCGCACTAAGCTTCAGGTCTTCTCGGCCACGGTCATTCCCTCCCTTCTCTACGCTTGCGAAACGTGGACCCCCCTAATGGAACATCTTCGCCGGTTAGAAATATTTAGGCTGGCCTGCCTACGATCCATCCTGGGTTTAACCAGACTGGATTGTGTGAGGAGCTCACAAATCCTTGAAAGATCTGGGCAGGGTCCCATCGGTGAGCTCCTCCGCCAGGCAAGGCTGCGATGGCTGGGTCATGTAGCCCGCATGCCCAGCCACCGCATGCCGAAACAGCTTTTGTTTGGCCGGATTGAGGGGGCTAAGCGGGCGCGGCACGGGCTAGAGAAGAGATGGAGTGATGTGGTACAGGAGGACGTGGAGCTGAGTGGACTTGCCGATGACTGGTACCAGCGGTGTCAAGATCGGCCTCTGTGGAGGAGGCTCGTGAAGGATGCTACTGGGCAGTTGGAGGCAGTCGCCCTCCAACAACAACGGAGGGCGGAGGAGCGACGCTCACAACAGCGAGCGGAGCGCCGGGTGGCTAAAGCACAGCAGGTTGGCACAGTAGGGGGCACAGGTGGTGCATCAGCCAGTCATCTCAGTCAGTCGACCCGTGGCACCTGGGTCTGCCCCGTGACCTCCTGCCAGCGGGCGTTCGACACTTCACGTGGCCTCAGGGTGCACATAGCCTGGCACAAGCGTCGTGGTGACGTCACCGCCACTTAGTGGCGAATGGCGGTTGTTGTTGTTGTATATGTGTGTGTATGTACAGTCTGTTAAGGCTATACTGGGGATCTTTGTCTTTGTGTATGTATATGTGTGTATGTATGTTCAGAAAAGCCACAAATAAGTTCGGTTTCTATAAATGTATATGTGCAATGTTTTAATTATTGACGAAGTTTACCTCATTAACTGAAAACTAAATAACAAGATTTATTTCTTCGGAGCACATCGTGTAGTCAAAAGTACCACACAGCTAAACCTTCACTTATTTGTTCACGTATCACAGTGTTTAAACGAGATGTACTATTTTCACCTTCAATCCAGCAGCATGGATTGCAAAACAAGTGTTACATTGTCAGAATCAGAATATGTATTTATGCTAGAGGAATCCGGTGAGCTATGAAGCTCTTTTTCATAGATGTCCAGTAGGAACAGGTCAGAGAACGTTAAAATAACAAACAGTACAAAAACACGATAGTACAGCAGTGCAAAGTACAAGAAAGGTAAACAACTCACCCCATAAAATATACAAATAACACTAAACCATACCCATCCTACCAGGCATAGCCCACCGAGGTATTAATGTTGAACTTCCTTCGCACGGTACGTAGCTAATCGGAGGTGCTAACCTTGTGGAGACGCAGCGTGGCGTTGCCCAGAGCTGACTCCAGCTGCTGTATCCTCTCGCTGGTCTCGTCCAGGTCCTTCTTTGACACATCCCCATCCACAGGCGACGCCGCTTCCAGATCTCCCTTCCGATCGGGGCTGCGAGTCCTGTCCTTGTTGTGAATCCGGTCCGAGTCTTCTTCATCCGGATCAGCGTCTCTCATAGACTAAAGGGTAACACAATCGCTATGGTCACTTAGCAGGATTGTCATTATTACTATTTTTCCAAATGAAAGCAAAGATCAGGACAGCGTGAGATCGTGGCACACTGGGGAGGCCTTAATCTAGCAGTCGCTTAACCATGGAGGCAAATTATAGGTTTTAGTTTAGTTTTATTTTGTAGGTCATAGAAAATTTGGATTTGAACATCAGTCATCAATTAATTGAAAACACGCGTTAAACGGCATTTATTTAACCGGCCCAATGCTGTTCAGTACAGCATATCAATCGATCAGTGGGGAGCGGTGGCATGATGGTTAGCGCACTGCCCTGTGAACCCAACCACCTGAGTTTGATTCCCAGCTACGGATAAAGTCACTGGTAAGCGAAATCTGAACCACTGCTGGGGTACCCTCCCCCCTCTCATCACAACCCACACTGACCAGCGTGGTGAAGTATGGTCGAATGTCCTGAAGCATAGACGGAGCATGATACAGTACAATGGATTGTGCTGTAACCGCCCTTCGCTGACAAGATACGTACAAGGAAATGTCCCTTCAGTGAGGGGGGAAATCATTCGGGTAAGCAACACATTGAGTAAAGGCGAGCTGTCAATGCGTGAGGTGGAAGTCGCACCTCTGAGATGTTGTCGCCTCTTGCGTTCATCTCCTGGCCACACAGTCAGCGAATATCAACTAAACTACCGTACAGTTTTTTTTTATTGATTTAACCAGGTAAGGCCCACTGAGCTATGTAGCTCTTTTTCAGAAGCGACCTGGCTATCACAAATGATAGCTCAACGAATTGGCTTATCACATGGAAATGTATAGTAGAAAAAAATACTCTAAACGCATGTTGATTCTAAATGTGGAGGGAAAAACGGAGGACCCTGGTAAAAATCCACACGACCATGGGAAGAGAGAGACATGCAAACTCCAAATAATCAGGTGTCAGGGTTGGGATCGAACCCACGACCTCCTGTATACCAGGCAAGATAGTTGATATCTCGACACCGTGGCGTCGAGTGAGTGACTTCTTGCTCGCAATGAAGATAGACTGACGATCGTCTCCTATTTGTATCGCCCTGAGTGAGCCAGTGGGTCGAGATTCCACATTCCTATGACGCGTACAAGTCAATCTATAGGAAAACCACTGCGGACTTCGCCACAAAGTGGTACTTATTTTACCGACCTCGGAAGGTTGATGGGCTGAGTCATGCCACATGGGCGTTATGAGCCAATAATTGCGGCCCATAATTGTTCAAAACCCACATGGTGATGCCATGGACTTTAGCTACAAAATTGGCCGTAGGGTTGATCAGTGCTAGAATATTGCCTCTCAAACCACTATAAAAAGTACACATTTTTTTGGGTGGGTGGGGTGCTCCAAACCCCAAGCCTTCCCCGGGGGTGCATCTCCTGAAACCCGTCGACGTGAATGCGGCCCTGCCGACGGAGGAGAAGTTCAGAGGTTCAACTCACCTGTGCCAGGGATGCGCACGCAGAGAGGTCGGGCGGGATGACGAAGGTGTAGGTGCAGAGGCCACCGCGCACCCGGCGATAAGAGGAGGCTGCCCTCGCCCCACGCTGAGTCCCGAGAGGCTCGCCAAGCACCCACATGTACAGCAGCAGCAGTATCGCCGAGTTCACCTGCGGGGCACAGCACAGCCTGACTCCTTGACCTGCTCCCTCTGGGTCAGTGCTCTTCATTGCAAGGCCCGCAGGCCACTGGCGGCCACCTGGTGGCCTTCAGTGCGGCCCCTGACGTGCGGCCGGCGACAATACACAACATCTGAAAACACCCCTTGCAGGCGGTGTGGCGGCCCTCACCGTGATAACGTCTTATCGGCAAAAGTGCCCAAACCCCCCCTACTGAAAATTAGTGAAGAACACTGCTCTAGGTTGTTAATGAATCAAGGCTCAAATATTCCTCCCCCCCCCCACCCCATAGAGCCTGAACAGACTGTAGGGGCAAGTACCGTTAGCGAGCACCAATGAAGGTCGGCACGGCACACGAGGGGGTGGGTGGCCAGCACCACGCCCGGCCGCCTTTGTCTCCCCAGTGGCGATGTTTACACACCGCACCAGGTACTCATTTGAGGCCGAGTCGAGCTAGGGGGGGCATTAATAAATGGACACATGCCCATGCACGTATTTACTGTGGAGGCTGCACATTCAGTGTCATACTCATTGGCCATGATCATCAGTTAACTGCTGGATGAAGGCCTCCCCAAGCCACCACCATCTCTCACGCACCTGCTCATGAGCTGGTTTAATCGCTCCATCTCCGAGATGGACATCCTTTTGGGCGCATTCCCTTCTTGGACTGGCACTGACGTTAGTCCTGGCTACTGGCCATCATCTCGTCACAACCAATATTATGGCTTTTCTTCTCCAATATCTAACTGGTTCTCCGATCTGTGTTCCTCTTTTGTCCGAATTTTTAAGCATGCAAACTCATTATTAGCACTTTTATACGGTTTTATTACATCGTTTTAATCAATGTCCATGTTTCTAATCTATCTAATAGCAGGCAATATGCATTGACTAAAAACGCTCCATGCACTGGAGCCATAACAAAGTTTATAGAAAGATGCAGGGCTTCTAATCTTGAATACAACCAGGTGGTAACTCAAGGGACTAGGATAGCGTCTCATTTGCAAGTGACCTGAAATATGTCTGGCAGGAGGGAGCGATTATTGCTTTATAAAATCTCAATTCAATAAGTAGTAAAATTAGTACACCCTATAGCGTTGTATCACTTTGTGGAAAATAATACGATTGTTGAACCCTAAAATAAAAAAAGAAACAAAAATCACCATATTTGTCATGAACATCCCACGAACACCATTAGACGAGACAAGAAATAGTAATCAGTTTCAAGCAAGAGCCTCGAGAGCAGATCAAGCCTCTTCTGAAGAAGAGGCACTGTCCAAATCATGAGCTTATATTCCAAGGCACTATTAAGTGGCGATTTTCACTCAATAGTTTGTGAACTGCCTGTGCAACGTCTTATATTTTAACATAAAATGCTAATTAACATCGATAAAAAATGGTCACTCACCATTTGCGTCACTGGGTTCATTGTTTGATGCGATGTTCCTTATACCCCCAGCTCTTGAGTTTTAATTCAACGGATTGTAGTTTTCTGAATTCTTTAACTCCAAAATATTTTAAAGGCCTAATCTGCAATTTACCTGCTCATTTATAATAAATTAGCTTTCAAGACGTGAACCCACAGTTAAGAAACCCAACAGCTGTGGATTAACGGTGGTAGGTAGTATGTGTGTATACCCTCACAATCTCCCAGGGTGGACTGTCGAGGCGTGGGTTGGGCAGTATTATCAGCTCCACATTGGATGTCGGAAGTATGAGCACATTATTTAAATTATTAAACTAGTGGCTGGGCATTTGAATAAAGTTGGTGCCTGGATATTGCAATGTTGTTGTGCAGAGAAATTAACTGGACGAGGTAATTCAGACTTGACCAAATGTGGGAGGTGGATTGAGGGAAGTGTTCTTTGGAGAATGTCTTCAAGTGTGCAGAAGAGGGTCACACTTTAATTCGTGTGACAAACGTTTGAGTAAAAAAATACCCTGTAATAAAATTGATATAAATGTCCAACAGACCACATTTCCGAAAGCAAAAGCTTTATTTTTAATAACACCAGAAGATTTTTTCAAAGCTTAGCAAATAACATTACAATATTACAGGATCTTACCACGCAAGTTCCATTGTCACATTTACAAACAAAATGAAAAGGCATCTGCGAAAGTGTAACTTTGTACAAGCCTATAAATTACAAAAAAGTGTATTTCATGTTGCGTAAAGAACCTAACTTTAATGATATACCTCAAATGCAGTTACACTTCAAATCGCTATGGGCTGTACACACTAACACTTGTATAGATAAAACAAAAAACACGAGGATCAAAAGTTTATATACGGATATTTAGACAAAAAAGCCACTATTCTCGTCAGCCTTTGCATGATCGGTGGTCAATCCTCCCCTGTCGCCCCCAACCTTAGTCTATTGCTTTCAAAATCTCTCTCCAACGATTTAAATGTGTATATTGCTATACGGTTGTTTGCTCGAATTCTCTTTACTGGTTGTTTACAACATTTTAGTTTTCAATAGTTTTCACCTCCTTTTACTTAATCCAGATCGGTAATTCATGTGCAAGTGCCATCATACTTTGTTGTACAAGTTTAAACTACCTCAGGCAACGAGATTCACTGTTTGTTTAGACGCAAGTTACCCCCATGAAAAAAATATTTAGCTTAATATTTACACAAACCTAATGCATGTCTGCCTCTATTTTTGCAATTACGTACATTTTTGAGAGCAGCTGTTATGTTAAAACTCAAGTACAAAGTGTAACCCTTTCATGTTTGTCATCAAAACATAACAGCTCCATTCTGTTAGCATGTTTATATTATCAGTGCATAAAAATGGACCAAAAAATGTTGATAAGTGTCATTATCTTAGTATTCACATTTTTTGGATGGTCACTCTTAGTTACTTTCCTGGGTTTTAAATCAAACCAAGTCCCCTCTGGTATGCCCATGAATTGGCCCGAATGCCTTCTGAAGTTCTTGTTTCAAGCTGAAAACTGGCTGTGTTGATGCACTGAACCTTTTCATTAGCATGCACTTTCATTTGAGGAAGTTCAAATGTTATTGATAAATTTAGATCTCGGCGAACATTTGTGTCTCACAATGCTCTCATTCACGTCGATGCAGCAAGATTAAGTCTTCTAGATCACCTCTCAGAATCCACAAACATATTCTTAAGAACTTGAAAATTACTTATAAGTATATCATGGCCAGACAACTGCTTATGTGCAAAGTTGAGCTTAATTGGATCCCATGTGCCTGGTGTTCATGGTTCGCAAAAGCACAGATTCAGTACAAGACACGTGCAGTTGAATCCAAAAGTTTAGGAATTGATTTAAGGCATACCAGCGGTTGTCGATCACAAAACAGGTTTAATGACTTAAATTTAGAATTCAAACTTTCGTGACTGCAGGAATTCATATTCTTGGTTCTTTCGTTAAAGTCACGTAGATAGAAAACAAAAATCTAAATTAAAAGCAAAAAACCCACGACGTTTCGATCGCAACACAAGCGATCTTCATTATTCATTAGAAGACCGCTTGTGTTGCGATCGAAATGTCGCGTTTTTTTGCTTTTAAATTTGATTTTTATTTTATATATACGTGACTTTACCGAAAAAAAACAAGAATAGGTTTAATGCCATAAAAACACTCGAATTCTCTTTCAACCCACTTAGTGCAGGTTAAATACTTTATAGGTTGGCCCATATGGAAAACAAATTTCAGGTTTGTAGTAGTGCTTAATATACTGGATTGGAATATTTGTACCTGTATAGAGCTATTGATTATCATAGCCAAATGAGATGTATTATATTACACAGGTTAAATCCAAAGCAATGGTTTAACAACTGGCGCTCACAATGACAAGGTTCGAGTTATTTATCCCAATTAGTGCGAGCTTGCATTCAAACAGGCAAATGCATCACAGCACCTTTACAAATGTGTGCGCGTTTTCAAAACTCATACTGGCTCATAGGAGAATAAGTAATGTGTTTTTTGCCATGGGTTTTTGCCTTTAGATTTTACGGAAAAAAAGGTTTTTCAAACGGGGTAGTAGGACAGTTTGTGATGGTTGCATTGCTTTGACGTCACACGTCAGTGACTGTGTACTGGCCATCAGGCCGCCCATCACGAGACCGCACATGCAGTGTGGCACTGCGTGGTGCAGCAGACTGCTGCTGTGCTTCCGCTGTGTCTATCACTGCTCCTCCAGTACCGCCACCTCCGCTGCTGCTCTCGGCCCCTCCATGAGCACCATGTTGCCGTGCGATCAGCCGTTCTGAGGCTCTTAGTGGGAGGCGGCCTGTCCCAGAATCCTGGCGTGCTGCTAATGAATCTGGCAGCAAAGCCGGCTGGCGGTGAGGTGGTGGTGGAGGAGGCATGTTGGTGCGACGGCGCCGCCCCAACAACCTCGAACCATCTTCATCCGCAGCCAAATGTGGGGCAGCGTAGACGGCTCTGCTGCTGCCTCCACCCTCACCAGCCAACGATATCTGCCCTGAACGGCCAAGACGCATTCCTGCGAGTTGCCGAGAAATGGACGCCGCTCCTTCGTTGTCTTCGTAATCCTGTTCCTCATCGTCCCTGTCAGAGCTGTCATCGCTATCAGCTGGGCTTGGAGGACCGACAACAGCCCTCATCTGGTGCTGGGGGGCAAAGGTCGCAGGCCTTGATGGAAAGGAGGACGTGGCTCCGGAGTCTGGCAGAGGGTCCACAGAAAGAGTAGAAGATGTAGCCACACTACTTACTGGAGAACTAGGGGAGGCCACAGTGATGGTAGATGGTCCTGCAGAAGCCAAAAGTCCACCTGAAGCAACCGAGCCACCAAAGGCAGCTGACGAGACTCCCAGTGCTGCCGAAAGACCACTTGATATAACGGAAGCAGCGCTCGACAGCATGGAAAATCCACCTGCCACAACAGATCCAGACCCAGAGCTGGTGCCAGCGACTGCCCGGTCAACGCCGTCCACGCCAGAAGCATGTGCAGGTGACACCGCCGGCGCCGTAAGATCCAAGCGCAGGCCTGCAACGCCCTTCTTGGGTGCACTCAGCAGGTCACGTTTCATTTTGCGGCGACGAGATGGCTCGCTGCGGCGGTACTGCACCATGGCCTCCAGGTCCGCCACGTAAAGGTAGCCAGCGATGAGCATTTCCATTGTGGTGCTGCCACGCGCGAACGCTTCCTCCAGCTCCGCGCTTGTGCGCTCGTCGTACTGCCACCAGCCGTTGCGGCCCTCGTAGTACCAGGCATTGGCGGTGCGCGGCTTAAGCGGCACACCTTCAGAAGCACCTCCAGCCACGCCCATCGAGGCCGATGGTCTCCGCTGCTGCTGCTGCGCCAGCGGCTGGCCGTCTGAAGTGGAGCACAGCAGTGTGGGCCGTTCCAGGAAGTCGGGTGGAATCTCGCTGCGGCATAGGGCACACCTGCGGCTCTGCAGCGCGACTCCTTTGGCGCACAGGAAGCAGAAGACGTGGCGACATGGTAGGCGTGCTGGGTGCACGCAGGGTTGCAGGCAGATGGCGCAGTCTGGCACGACAGGACGTGCAGGCGGCGCCTCGCCGGGCCCCACGCCCGCGCTGGGCGGCTCATCTGTGCCGAGCACGCGGCACCCCGACATTGTGGTTTGTTGCCGAGGGCCTGCAGAGCACAATGATACGTAGCGAATGTGATCAGACATAAGAACACTGGGTAACAGGTGCGTCTGACCATACATTTCAATTCCGTTCCAAGATTGACAAAAAAAGACATTCGTAAACAACTTGTCTCGAGGCAACCAGTGGGGAAAATGCCACCTATGTGCTGGTCTTCAGAGCCGCAGTTGCACACATTAGGCATATCAATCAGCAGCATCGTGTTCTACAGCCCAGATATTTTTCATTCTATCTCATTAAGCTCTAACATGGTAAAATAAAGGCAACTGAACCGTTTCTGACAAGTCAAAGATAAATACAGCAGTCTTCTTAAAGACCTCAAAGCAAAGGATCGCCTGTCTCCAGGGATTCGGCTACATTCTACCCTAGAGGAAGTTTAAGTCCAAAATAGACGAACCATCCCGACCTGAATCGGTGTCTTTTTAGTGACTCAAATAATTGACGTAGTTGAAATAGTTTCGCATGAAAAAAAGGGGCCTACTGGGCCTCAACTTTCATTTCCCATTTTCAGCGACGTCAACTTGTCCAATGGCCTGGAGGGATGAAATCGGCTTATGCCCAGATGGCTACCGTCAATCGTTACGTCGCACGGTCGTAATAAGGTGTCGACGGCTGACAAAGGCCTTCATCCAGCAGCAGATTGACCATGGCTGATGGCAACGATGGAAAGGCCTACCGAATGAAAAGGGGCGTTTATTCGCCCAATATTTTTTAACATTGGGCCGACACTGGTCAATAACTGGCTTCGATTATCACCCTACTTAAGTGGCCCACTTAAACAAATATACATCACCATTATCTATCCACTTCAGGGGAGATGACTCCCACCAGCGATGCAATTAAGCGTGTACATCAACACATTATTCATCATTTGCATCCTAAGACCCTATATATTATGTAGGATGACATCAAACTCGAGTCTTTTGAACGATATTTTAACCGTCGAATATTTAATTAAGACCATCCCTTAATCTACCGTCGTACATTCTCCCCATCGGCTGCCATTCTATCCATAATTTCTTATCTTAGTTAATCTACAACTTACAATTGTAAAAAAAACGCTTCCACAACTTAAGTGGTGTATATTAAGTCGATAAATAATGGCTAATAATGCAATTTCAGTGAAACGCGTCATGTGTTCCCCTAGGGCCAAAGCCCTGGGCCTCTCCTTGAACGCTCGGGCAGGCGAGATGGCCTCTCGCCGGGCGTTGCGATCAGGCAAGAAGCGGGATAAAGCGCCTCGAGCCGCTAAACAGCAGCAATATTATCCAACCCATGTTACATATGTTCGCTAAAATACACACGACTACTGCTGAAATCACCTCACTGCGACCTCCATAAAACATAACATTATACCACTCCGGGCAATTTTAACACGAACGCGATTAATGTCACACTTGAGCAAGTAAGCCCTGCAATCGTCTATTGAAGGCCGCATCGAACAAAGGTAGCTTAACATGTCCATGGCGCGCGACACTTACGTGATCCGAACGGACCAAGACGTCGTTTTTAAAGTGAAACAAATACGCAAGAGTTAAATATTAACGAAAAGTCAGCAGTTTTATCGCGGATACGCGCAAGACGTTTAAACGCGTTCCGCGGGCGCCGAACAGACGTTCAATTCCCGGCACCCGAGTAGAGGCGGATGAAGCGACAGCGCCTTTGTGCGGGTGACGTCCGCGTACGTCATTTGCAAGCCCCTCCCCTACCCCTACCCCCTCCCCCCTTTTGTTATTTTCATTTCTATTTTTATATTTTAACACAAAACTGTAAATACCGTCGTGATTAATTGGACGCGCGCGGGTTATATTTGTACCCTTAATAAGGGTGGCGTGTGTGTGACGCATCTTTTGTTTTAATTACTTGCTTCCGTTCACTCTTTTTTTAACCGCTGTTCAACAACAACAACAATTGCGTGCGATTTATTGGCAGCGTTACGTCGATTTTTTGGTTTTATTTGGTCGAGGTGTTACATTTAAAATGATTTATAAAGCATTTTCAATGTTTCATATACTTAATCTCCTGATTAAATAAAGGCTAAATACATGTTTATGTGCATCAAACCGACAATATAGAATGATCCGTTTCGAGTTCAAATAATAAAGTCCATTTTAATAATGGTTGTGATTTTATGCGTGTCATTTTTACTTGTGTGGAGCAAAAACATTGTACTATTTTGAAGTCTGAATTATTTTATTATTACCTGCATTAAATTTACAATACATGTTCACTCATTTATGGATACTGCCACTATAATTGTGAGAAATTAGAGAAAATGTAATTTTATTTCAAAGCCTCCAGATGTGTTTCACAAATCTCAATACACTTATTACATGTGTTAAAGCTCTGTAAGATTTGGAGCTGTCGCTTTCACAATATTTAATTACCTGTTGGGTAGAAACGAAGTTAGCAATTCCTCCTTCGCATATCTATCTCTACATAAAATATATAAAACACATTTTTACACATAACCCATCAGCTCCACGACCTTCTAGGAGGGAATAATTTCAGCAGCATTGTTTAAAGACGAGGAAAACTCTCGGCTTGTTTCGACACACAGGATCTCATCAGCAGTCAGTCTTGCTTAAATAAATATTATTGCCTGTCTTGAATCAATGATGCTGAAATCATGCACTCTCAGAAGGCGTGGGTCTGATTGATTTTGTGAGAAATACATTAAAATAAATAGTACGTCGAGACGGATATGTGAAGAACGCACTGCATATTTATATCATCCACAACGACGCCAATTATTATTTTGTGTTCAGAAGGCCACAAGTAAGTTCGGTTTCTAGAAATGAACCTTATGGCGGGACCCCGGGGTCCCGAATAAACGGAAGTCAAAATCGTAATTCATTAGTTTATTTTTGGCGACTTCGTCCCACCGCCCACACAAACGCAGCGAGACCCATCTGGCGCGGATCCTTTTGTTGACTTGTCATCCAAAGCGCAACAGCGAGGACGAATGAGCAGAAGAGCTGAACAAGCGAATGCACTCCATGCTGGGGTATGGGCAGGATCACAACAAGGCTTATCCAAAAGCTGCTCAAACTGCCGACACGACTGAAGTCCTTTATTTGTCATAACGGTGTGCATAATACAGTGAAACTGTTCTCTTATCTTCATTATTATTTGTGACCTATTAATGTCTGCAGCCAGGATCAATCGATGACAATCCTATTACTGTACCTGCAGATATTCAACAGATGAGATGCGTTGCGACGTTAATTCCTCCTGTTTGATCATACTTATCTTGTCCGGTATGCATCTGTGCAGATTGGTTGTACTGTTTACAAAGTGCGTTCACAAATCCACAGTGAGAAACACGATGATTGACAGAGGGGTGTAAATCATTTTTTTCGATGGTGTAGTTAAATAGAGGTACTGCAGGTAAGTAGTTTTCAGTTTTACAGGCGTAGTTTAACAAGACAAAACCTGCCACCATCCTTCAAACCCATTGGTGAAAAAGAGCAAATTTGTTATTTACATTATGTTTATGCGAGAGCCGGGGGCTTATGGGACCCTGGGTACCGCCATAAGGTTCATATGTATACGTGCAATGTTTTAATTATTAACTGGAAACTAATTTAAGGACAAGATTAACTTTTCTTCGGAGCATATCGTGAAGTCAAAAAGGGCCACATAGCTAAACCTGAACTTTTTTGTTCACGTATCACAGTGTTTGAACGGCATGCAACATTTTCACCTTCAATCCAGCAGCATGGATTGCAAAACGAGTGTTACGTCAGAATCAGAATCTTTATTCATCCCGGAGAAATCCGATGATCTACGAAACTCTTATTCACAGATGTGCAGTAGGGGCGGGTCACAAAATTGCAACAAACAATGCAGAAAAAAAACACGATAGGAGTGCAAAGTATAGGAAAGGTAAGCATGAATCATGAATAGACAAACAACGGATATTTCTGCAGCAAAATCTCCCCTTGTCCGATTCTCCTATTCACCCCCCACCCCAACCCTAACTTTGTAGCCCGGCCCATCGGCGTGGTGGTGACCTGTGGCAGTTGCACCGCCTGCACTCTTACAACATTGCCCTTCATTGCAAGGGCCGCGTGCCATTGGCGGCGCCTGTGGCGGGCCATTAATGTGGACCCCCCCCCCCCGACCATCATATATAAATGTCAAACCCCCTCCCCCCCCAATTGATGTCTTATCGGGCAATTCGAAAATGAGTGAAGAACACTGCCGTCGACTCTACACTACCGCGCACAGCAAGCACCGACCGTGATGAAACGCCACATTGCTGACAGCGTCACCGACAGGGGCATAAAACACACCCGGTCAACCCCTTGTCAGAACAATTCAGACCTTATTGGTCACCCCGTGCCCCTTATAAATCTCAACGTTCACCCTACAAAGTCCCATCACATAGGGGAAACACAAACAAATAGACACTCACCCCTATTACACTCGCCACTGCATATCTGTCAACCCCTTGTCAGTGCCTCCTACCTTATTACAGACCAATTCAGACCTTATTGGTCACCCCGTGCCCCTTATAAATCTCAACGTTCACCCTACAAAGTCCCATCACATAGGGGAAACACAAACAAATAGACACTCACCCCTATTACACTCGCCACTGCATATCTGTCAACCCCTTGTCAGTGCCTCCTACCTTATTAGACCAATTCAGACCTTATTGGTCACCCCGTGCCCCTAATACATCTCAACCTCCATCCTACAAAGTCCTTTTTTTGCTGTTGTCCGTATTGAAACGGCTGTACGCCGAATGGACTTGAAAACACAATTTCCCTGTACAAGAATACGGCATGTTGATGTAATGATTCGCACGTATAATTATAAATTCAGTTAAAAATATGTCTTGTTGGCCGTATTGAAACGGCTGCACGCCGCACGGACCTGAAAACTAAATGTCCCTGTACAATAACACCGAGTAAAAACGGCATGGGTTGGACACGGTACGTTAACGCAATGAATCACACGTGTAATTATTCTCAACGGAGGCGTTCATAATGACCGTGGGATTGGGATTTGGTTACCCAAGCCAAACAGTGGCTTCGGTGCCTTTGGTGGTTGGTTGGTGGTTGGTGAGGTGGTGGGTGGGGGGGGGTATAACAACGTCATCGTCAACTTGCAATCTCGTCTTGATTTGAAGCTTTGCATCTAGCCGCTCAACCACCCACACAAGGCAACAACGCGCTCACACGAATCGAGCGGCCCCTCGCCATTGGCTCGCCTCGTAACGTTAAGGCCCTCCCGTCAGTGGCAGCAACTTCCAGCCACCACCAATCCACCACCAACCCCATCCCCACACCCCCCTCCTCCTCCTCCCTCCCCGCCGTCTTTTGACAGCACTGAGCCGGAAAAGGCCGACAGCAGCAGCACGTGTGTGTGTGTGCGAGCTCGTCCTGTTTGCCCTTGCGTGCCGTCGTTGTGTCACGAAGGCACATTTGTGTGGGGGGCGGTTTTCTGGCCTACACGGTGGTGCCTTGTTGGTGGTGGTGGTGTTATTATTATTCAAGTGTCACTGTCGTTTTGTAGCAGAGCTCAACATTGGCGTGCGACGTTTGGGAGGGGAAAGGGCGGCGGCGTTGTCTTTCGTGAACGTTAACGAGTGATAATCTCCGTGCGGATTTGTGTTGTCTTCCGGCTCGCCTGCCATAGCCGTGTTTTTTTTTGTTGGTTATAAAACGACAAGGGCGAACAATGTCGCGGGCTACCCAGACAACAAAGGAGTGGGGTGGATAAGATACTGGTTAACGGTTAACGTAGCGATTGAATATCCATCGTATACGGTATCATGATCGGCTTCATGGGACCAGATGCTTAACGGGGATTCATTGGGGCAAGGTAGGGCGGCAGGGGGTTAAAGTGCAAGTGATAGAGACGTAGTCATCGTTAGGCACATGCTTGCATCTCTACACTTAACATAATTGATACAGTGTACGGTACTGTGCTGTATCGCAATTTGGGCAAAAGGTCCACGTGTGTAGTTCTAGGTGACTTTGAATCTCCACGTGGTTGTGATTTTACATAGGGAAGAGCGGTTGCAAAGAACAACATCGTCAACGCCACGTCGTCGTTCCAATCGACATTTAAACCCGTGAGAGTTAAACGTTGTGTTATTTAAACCTTCCGGTAGAACAAACACACGGACGTCTTGTTTTGTGGGCCACGCGTAAAACGGGAGGACAGTCGTCTGTACAAAGTACGTAAAAACATTTAAAAAAAAGCAATTAAACCCAACCCAGACGGAACGTAAAAATGTAGGGCTAAAGTTGACATTAACTGCGCGTGTACGTTTACGTCGCTCGTTGATTAAAACGCGAACAACTTTTGAGAAGTCATCTTTAGCGCGTCAACTTGGGGCCAACATGGTCGATGCCTTAGCTTTAAGACTGCGTTGTCGTCAATGTTGATGGGTTGGATGTAAGTGTCCGATGGTTGTGAGTTAAACGTTCTCAGAGCGGCGGTGGTGTTGGCGGTGGCTCTCAACTGGTTCCGAGTTTGTCGGAGTTCGGAGTGCTCGGTCCCAAAAAAATCGACCGTCGCCGAGCAAAAAGGGCCTCTTCGGAACACGCCAAGCGGCCGGCAACAAACCAGCAACCATTGCAAGTTTTAACAGATTCGAGTTAACGTACAAGACGAGGGATGGCGAGATAACAAAAACAAAAAAAAATCCATTGTGTATCGGCTTGAACGATGAGAGTTGTCGCCACGACCACGCCGGCGTGTTTGTTACGTCAAGTAAGAGTGATGTATAATCACGCTTGATGTATAAATTACTTGCTTAGTAGTAGCTACGTTAATGTTGTTTGGCCAGCGAAGCGGTGTGTGCGATTGTGTAGATTTGCTGGATGGACCCATACGCAGTTAAGCGATTATACAAGCAGCTACCGAACGTGGGTTTGGAACTTTTCTCTTGCCCCCCCCCCAGTGTGTGATTGGTCGCATGCAACTTTACGCGTGATAGTGTCAAGAGTTTTCTCTTAAGGCATTTGCCGGTAACTACGTCGTGTTAGGAAGTTACTATAGTGTTGCGAGTGCAGCTGATTGACGTCAATAGTTTAGGAGGTGTTTGATGTTTACATCGATTTTCGCGATGGCTTTAGCCTTAGTATAGCCGTTCGTCATCTTATATAAGAGGCGCGGTTTACGTTAAAACAGTGACTTTCGGATGATAATTCGGAGTTGATGCTGCCTTTCATTCGATTGTACTTTAATTTAAAGTGTGGGTATGGCTAAACATTACATGTCGGTTTATTTAAGTATTTAAGCAATCGTAATTTTGTTTTAAGTACGTTTAAGCTTTCAAGCCAACCGTGTTTCATTAAGAACGACAAAAGCTCTTCTACACACAACAAGACACGACTTCACCTTTGTGAGTCTGATTAAACTGTTGGGCAAACACTGGTGGTTGGTGGTGGTGGTTGTTGGGCACCTGGACCTTTGGACGGGTTTATTTTCTTCGGTACAGCTGGATCCAACTTATCATTGACAAGGCCCGAATCTTTATTAACCCAAGGGGGTCCTTCTGGAGGCCAAGAGTATTTTTTTCTTTACTCCCAGGATTTGTGTGTCAGCAAAGCGAGTGGCGCATACAGGGGTTCTCGTTAATCAATTACCGAGCAGGTTTTTAAGTGGGCTCGCTTAGCCCATCCGTTAGACGAAGTTTCTCACCCGACCCGACGAAACAGACTCCTTAAAGCCAGAGAGAGAGATTGTAATTTATAGAAACACAAGTGTGAGAGATTGTTAATTCAAGAGCGCGATTGCCAATGGTTAGTTTGCGAGATTCACCGTTGCCATGCCGGTTTATAAGTAAAACATATCTCCTGCTGCTGCTGCTTGCCGCCTTTAACTTAATTGTCGCATTGCACAAAAAATGACGAAACTTGAACTTTAGTTTGTATTTTACAACGCAATCTCAGGGATTATCTTCGTTTTACCACCCGCTATACATGCATTTAAGCTACGCCTAGCCACTTTTTCTGGGCCTCTCCAAACCCACAGCAGCAGGGCGCACGCCAGATAGCTGCTTTTTGGTAGCAATGGGCAAGCTAACCTTCTCATGGGTGGACTACCTCATCTTCGCCATCCTGCTGGTCATCTCCACTGCAATTGGCCTCTACTACGCCCTGAGCGGCGGTCGCCAGAAAACCACCCAGGAGTTTCTGCTGGCCGACAGAAGCATGGGCTTCGTGCCCGTGGCTCTGTCGCTCCTCGCCACCTTCCAGTCGGCGGTGGCCATCCTCGGGGTGCCCGCCGAGATCTACACCTTTGGCACTCAGTACTGGTTCCTGGGAGTCAGCTACATCTTCGGGCTCCTCATTCCCGCGCACGTTTTCCTACCGCTCTTCTATCGGCTCAAGGTGACCAGCGCCTACGAGGTGGGTGCTTTGGAACCATCGGCGTGGCTTTGCGCGCTTGCGTTGTGCCGCCCGCCGCGCTTGCGTTGTGCCGTGCGCCGCGCTTGCGGTGACGCAGTGGTTTGGCGCAAGTGGATTAGCGCAGTGCGCTGGGAAACCCAGCGAGCCGAGTTCAATTCGTGCTCAAGGCCACCGACGGGCCAGTGACGGATTAATTGAAAGCGGTCCGTGGGCCTCCTCCCCTAGGTCGATTCGGCCTCAAATGAGTACTTGGTGCGGTGTGTAAACATCGCCACCGGGGAGACAAAGGTGTGGTTCTGGCGTCAGTCTTCTTGGGTGCTCGCCAAGAGCACTTGGCCCAACAGTCTGTTAGAGGGTTTGAGGGAGGTATTTGTGAACTTGAAATATGTTGTGTGTACTCGTATGTTCATTGTGCGTGGGGTATGTGTTTGCTAAATGTTGGCACATTCCTCCAGGGAGTTTGGCTCAACAGCCATCGAATATCTATAACTTCGAGATTTATTCATTTCACTGTGCGATTTAAAGTGGTCAAGAAACAATTTTATTTTTCTACCTCGTGACCTCAGCCAGCATCCTACCAGGACGGCCTTCATCAAGCTCATCACCTCAGATAATGTACTTTTTCCAAATCTGCCTTCCCTGGATTGTCCTAAATGGCATTCTCTCCACAACCAACTCGAGAAACTTGCCTGTTCTGCTTTCTCTCTATCCAATTGCTTTTCTCTGCCAAACCTACATTTCTAGATTTTCCTGTCGTCTTAGGCCTACCTTTCTCATAGTCCAGGCTTCTGCCTCATACGACACTAAGCTCCATACGAAGATATCCGTGAGTCTCTTCTTGAACTGTCTGCACATTTGTTATGTGAGTAGCATTTTAACCTTATGGATGGTACCCCGGGGTACCATAGAATCCCGGCTCTCGCATAATGTCCGTGATGCAGTAATTTTTAGTCTGTTGATGGTTGGCGATGCGGCAATGGATTCATCCCGACGAGCTGTACACGATGCACCGCTACGGTGCGTACTGGGGTTCAGGGTTTCGGCGCAATCGTCCTCGCTGCGTTTCAACATTGTGGAGTGTGGCACTGATTTCGGATTGATTGGTTACCCCAGTCGTGGAGTTAAGTACACCCCTGGAAAAAATAGTGTCCCAGAAATAAAATATTTAATTTGCCTGGGCCATTTTGTATTATTTGATACCCCGGGGTACCCGCCATAAGGATCATTTGTCTTCTGTTTAATGCTGTATTTTTTCATAAGGCACTCCTGGCTCTAATCTCTTGAAAAAAAACAAGAAAAAGCATCGGTCCTCAAACGTTCACAGGAGGGGTTCTACATGGACATGTTTTTCAATTTCTATGATGTTTAGCATGTGGGAGAAAATCTATGTGTATGTGCGATTCAGGTATCCTTTTGCTGTACTGGTAACCTCCCAGCCCAACGGATGAGGTTTTTTTGCAGGAAACCAAAGTAGCCAGAGAAAGTACACTCACACGATACCATTCATTTAGTTACAACACAACACTAATTAATCATATTTTTTTGAGAAATGGTGAAGGTTTGTGGAGATCTTCATTTAGCAGTGGGTTGACCACGGCTGATTATGGTGCCGATGAAAGTGCCACAGTAGCTCAGTAGCATTGTGATGGATCGAACACATGGCCCAAGTCATTTTGACACTTGAATGAATCTCTCCTACTCTGGTACCACATTAACCAAAGGCGTTAATGTGTTTGGGGAGGTTAATTGAGTCGCATGGCCACTGCGTGTGCAGCCCATGCTAAGTGATTTTCAATTAGTCTATGATGGCCTTCTTATGTATGTAAATATAACATTTTATGGATGCTGTCATGGAATAAATGGTGAGCACACTGTACTTGGCAATGCAGCAGTCACCAGTTTAATCGCTCACCACAACAGGTGAAACACTGGTGCAAGTTTCTTAAATCCCCCCGCAACAGCATTACTCTGAAAATTACTAAAGGGGGCCACTTTCGCCGATAAGTTGTCAATGTGAGGCCCGCCACACCGCCTGCAAGGGGTGTTTTTTTCACATGTGTATTGTCAGGGGCCGCAATAAAGGCTACCAAGGGCTGCCAGTGGCCCGCGGGCCTTGCAATGAAGAACACCGCTCCTAATATTTATCGGCAGGTCGCGTGTGGCGAGGTAAAGTCTGCGTACACCCACCTCTCCAAAGATATCTGGCCGGCATGGCCAACTCCCCTTGGCTTGAAGGGGCTCTCCAGAGCTCCATGCAGTGGAGGCCCTTCTACCGGCTGTGCCATGAGCAGGCACTTGCAGGGCGGCACTTTTATTATGTTATTCTCTTTTATGGACTTAAAACCTTTAAAAAAAATCTATGGGACAATACGTGTTTTATGCAAGGGCAACCTGGGTCAACAAAGTGAGACGTTACAATTAATGTTAAATCTGTAACGTGACACCACACGTTGTCAAAGCAATGCTTAAAACAAATGGTGTGCAAAGGGCAGGTAGAGTATGTATGCTCGTGCGAGGAAATGCTCTTTTTTGCCTTGCTGTACGTGCCATTTGTCAACCCACTGCTGGATGAAGGCCTTACCGTGCGTTTCGTAAGGATTCTTTGACAATACTTCACGCTGATCAGTGCAGGTTGGTTTTAGTTTAGTTCAGTTTATTTATTTTGGTATAGCCCTGTGAGCCATTCGGCTCTTGAGTCGGGTGCAACCACAACAAAACAAAAAACACAAAAACACGAACAAGAAAAACATCTTAAAGTGACTGTGTGTGACTGTGCAAACAGAAAATCCATGAAAAAAACCAGCAAAATATTCCTGAAGGGGGCAGCAGGTTGTGAGTGGATTTTTTGCTGCAAGAGTGCAGTGGTCAGCACAATTATCATTTGTTATTACATATAGACAGTTAAAAACTTATAGCTTTTATTAACACTGCCTTATGAGAGAAAGGTCTAGGTTACAAGCCTACATTGTGTCACAGCTAAGCAAGATTGAGCATGGATGGTGCTTATATGGGTAACCACACTGCACAAAAACTGTCATCGGGTAGCGGTGGGGTTACATGGGGTTTGGCAGTAGAGGTCAGTGCAGGATATTCTTAGCTCTTTCGGTAAAGTCACGTTGAAGGGAAACAATAAAATAATAAAATATATATAAAACAATAAAAATTCTCACGACGTTTCGACCATAACACAAACGGTCGTCATCAGGTGTGTTGGTTCGCATTAATTTATTTATTTTTAAACGGTGTATTTATAAAAAACGTCAGCGCCACGCGCAGCGATTTGGCAGTTTATTTAGAAGGACTAGTCCATCTATGTTCTGAAAAGAGGAGGGAGACGAAAAATTAATGTATGCTGTCTGAAAGCCACTGTAAGCGTGAACAATCAATGAAGACCTGAAATTGTTAATCAAATCTTTCCAATGATTGCTAAGCCAGAATACATCTTCTCGGTTGAAATTGTCTCTGTGCTTGTATATGTGGATAGCGTCATGAACGAATCTCTCATGGTAGCCAGATGGCTTACAAAGAACCTCTGTCTTGGAAAAGTCAATGTCATGTGAGCCTACTGAACTATAACAATGATCTGCCACGGCCGAGGTGTTGGTCCTACCGTGTTTAAGGTCTGCTTTGTGTTCAGGAATGCGGTCCGAGACATGGCGTTTGGTTTCTCCAATGTAACTACTACCTCAGAGGCAACTTAGTTTGTAGACACCAGGGTACTGTATGTCCGGAATCACATCTTTTACAGACGGAACCAGATCACGGATTTTATGTAATGTGTTGAAACGGACCTGGATCTTGTGTTTATTCAAGATTTTGGAAATCTTTTTTGTGATCCCCGCAATGTAGGGTAAAGTGATGGTTTTGTAAGGCTCCTCAAGAGGGTCCTTCATGGTTTGAGTGATAGCTTTGCGGATTGTATAGTCGGAGTAACCATTAGCCTTAAGAGCTTGGTGTACATGCTTGAGTTCACTGCCTATGTGTTCCTGGTCGGATATGCATTGGGCTCTATGGTACAGAGTCTTGATGAGTGAATTCTGCTGTGATGGATGGTGGTGGGAATCCGGTTTCAGAGAAGCATCCGTATGGGTAGCTTTCCTGTTGACAGAGTGGCTCATTGAACCATCAGGTCTCTTTTTTATTAGGACATCCAAAAAGGTAGCTTGCCATCTTTTTCGACTTCCATGGTAAATCTGAATTGATGTGGTCGAAGAATTGGTCTAGAGCAGGCCGGCCATGTGGCCAGATGACAAAAGTGTCATCCACGTACCTCTTCCATAAGGTTGGGCGCAGAGTGGCAGTCTCGATGGCGTCAGTCTCAAATGTATCCATGAAAATGTTAGCTATAACCGGAGATAGGGGGGAGCCCATTGGGGTGCCCTCAGTTTGTTTGTAGAAAGTTCCATTCCAAGTGAAGTATGTATTGGTTAAACAGTGTCTCACCAGGGGGGGTACCTCAGTGTTTAGTCCTTGATGAACCAAGGGGGGGTACCTCAGTGTTTAGTCCTTGATGAACCAACTCTTCAATGATTGCGATGGTGTCAGGTACAGGAACCTTGGTGAATAAGGAAACTACATCAAAACTGACAAGCAGGTCGTCTGGGGACAGGGAAATACCCTTAATTGTCGATACCAGGTGAGTAGAAATTTGTACCGCAGAGGTGGTTTTTCCAGTGAAAGGACGCAGGATTTCAGACAAAAAACGAGCCAGTTTGTAGGTGGGGGAGTTGATAGTCGAGACGATGGGACGAAGGGGTGTATCTACTTTATGTATTTTTAGTAAGCCGTATAATCTTGGTGGCCTGGCAGCAGAAGGTTTCAACGAAAACTGTTTAGATTGATCAATTAATGCGGTTGAATCAGAAATTAGTTTGTTGGTTTGTGTGACGAGGCTGTTGGTGGGATCTCTTTATTTTTGTTTAACTACCATCATCGAGTAATTCTTTAATTTTGTTGTATTCTATTTTATCCATGATGACAGTAGCATTGCCCTTGTCAGCTGAGAGGACAACAATGTCATCCCTCTTTTTTAATTTATATAATTCAAAACGCTAATCTTTGCTGAGGTTGCTAGCTGGCATCTTAGCGTTTTTGAGGGTTGCAGCGATTTCAGATCTTGCTACGTCTGCAGCGATGTGACCCAGGCCCCTGAGAGCAACGTCTACTTGGGCAATTATATCATTAACTGGTATGTGTTTAGGTGTGACTGCAAAGTTTAGACCTTTAGCTAAAACGGATTTCAGACCATCGGAAATATAACTGTTACTGCGATTAATTACGACTTTGTTAACGTCTAACTTTTTGGTGTGTGGGTCCGGTCTTTCGTTGAAGAGGAGGTTAAATTTGGAAATCAGGTTGTCCTTACATTTGGTCGACATAGTAGCAGCTGAAGAGGCAGTAATATTGTCTACATGTTCCCAATCCGATGTGGACATTGTTGCCATCAATGGTAAGTGTGATTTGTAGAGTGTCTTGTCTAACTGATCTAGTTCGGTGCATATAAGTCTGATTTTTTCTGAGATAAGAGCTAAGCTAGTTTTGAAAAGAATTCGTTTCACATTAGAAGAAGTTACAGCAGCAGAGGTCAGTGTAAATGCGATTGGTATTACCCCAGAGTCACGGCATCTCTTCAGAAAGGTGAGAGACTCGATCAGCTGAGCCTTCTTATCCCGGAGTTTGTTGAAGGATCTTAAAGTTGATTTAAAGCTTTCGCGACTGCAGTAATTCATATTCTTAGCTCTTTTGGTAAAGTCACGTTGAAGGGAAACAATAAAATAATAAAATATATATAAAACAATAAAAATTCTCACGACGTTTCGACTATAACACAAACGGTTGTCATCAGGTGTCGGTTTGCATTAATTTATTTATTTTTTAAAACGGCGTATTTATAAAAAAAAACGTCAGCGCCACGCGCAGCGATTTGACAGTTTATTTAGAAGGACTAGTCCATCTATGTTCTGAGAAGAGGAGGGGGGAGACGAAAAATTAATGTATGCTGTCTGAAAGCCACTGTAAGCGTGAACATCAATTAAGACCTGAAATGGTTAATCAAATATTTCCAATGATTGCTAAGCCAGAATCCATCTTCTCGGTTGAAATTGTCTCTGTGCTTGTATATGTGGATAGCCTCATGAACGAATCTCTCATGGTAGCCAGATGGCTTACAAAGAACCTCTGTCTTGGAAAAGTCAATGTCATGTGAGCCTACTGAATTATAACAATGATCTGCCACGGCCAGGGTGTTGGTCCTACCGTGTTTAAGGTCTGCTTTGTGTTCAGGAATGCCGTCCGAGACATGTCGTTTGGTTTCTCCAATGTAACTACTACCACAGAGGCAACTTAGTTTGTAGACACCAGGGTACTGTATGTCCGGAATCACATCTTTTACAGACGGAACCAGATCACGGATTTTATGTAATGTGTTGAAACGGACCTGGATCTTGTACTATACTTATATGGTTCCATATCTACGCTTGCTGCCTTCAACCCACACTTACCAGCACGGTGAAGTATGGTCTGACAATCCCCATGATCGACGTGGCATGGGGAGGCATAATTCATCCAACTAGTGCACTGACAAAGGCCTGGATATTATTATTGTTAACATGTGAATTGCTGTGTGAAAGCTTTAATGCATGCCACGACACATTTGTGTCAGAGTTACTACCATTTTCTGTATAACCGTACGAGAGCCCATTGACACAAATCTCGTGTGCTCTGTGTGATGAAATGTGATTTTGCGGAAGCAATTTACAGTGGATAATGAAGACGTGTGATACGTGATGATTTGCAGATAATTGTGTTTTATGCTTACGTTGAGGTGGATGTTGTGCTTTTATTTTCACAGTATTTGGGGCTCAGATTTAACAAGTCTGTGAGGATTGCAGGAACGTTAACATTCATCTTCCAAATGGTAAATACTACACATCACCACTTTACAGTGCTTAACACCACTGCCTCCATAATTCGTAACAATTGTTCAGTTAATTTCATCTCAATAAATCTCATGTTCATAAATCATCCTGGGCTTTGATCAAATGGCCTGGAATACGCTCGATCTCTGTCAGATCTCGGAAGCTTGGCAGAGCTGTTTCTGCATAGTGCTTGGATGAGTGACTGCCATACATGAACCGTGTGTTTTAGGCTGCCGATGGGCATATGTTGTAAGCAGAAGACAGTCCAAGATAATCTGTTGTACTGTACTATGCCCCAACTTCTGCTAGCCGCTACATCAACTGTCACTGATCAGCGTGGTGGAGTATGGTTAAATAACCCCCACTACCCCAATGGTGTGGGGAGGTCCTTATTTTAGTAGTGGATTGACTATGTCATCATCTGAACACCACTGCAGTTCATTGTAAAATTGTAACTGCTTTACATTGTAAAAAGTTCACTCCTTTGATCGTTTATAAATATTAGAAATAAACACTGAACGTCTTTATTCTTCAAGAGATTAACATGAACAATCCTGAAAGGAGTTTATTTCTTTAGCGTTTGGCAAGTGAGCTTTGACACCTGCAGTGAGCTTTGACACCTGCTCCGGCGATGATGCGTGTCGGATGGTTCTGTCCACAGGATTACCAATGATGTAAGGATCAAAGAGATTGAGTTTATTTAATTTGTTGCATGGATGATCCTGGCTATTTTATAAGGGAGATCTGTGGTGTTTGAGCACATACAACAAAACAAAGGCAAAAACATCAAGAATGCAGAGAATAAGTGCAGGACCCTTGGGGTTTATTGCACAACTGATAAACGAGGTACTTAACGGCTATTTTCCTTAGAAATTGACATAATCACTAGTACATTTAATCAAGGTGCACGTTGTCATTTTAAGGTGTAGCAATTTAATTGGACCTGAAACGAAATGTAAGTTCTTTCAATTATTGCGTGACGGCAACTATCTAATCATAACTGATATTGCCCACTGTGAGTCTTAAGTATTTTCTGTAATTCCCACATTGCATCAGGCTGTTATGAATGCTGCTAAGGGGAGGGGTTTTCTTGCACCTTTCAGACAACATCGCTCTTTTCCAAGGATAATTGCTGTACATTAGATTAGTATGAGCTATGCTATTGCATTATTTAAAAAGGTTATAACTCGGTTTGGAAAATCGCTTCGCAAAGCTATAATGTAATACTAAATCGCATGACTAGTTTCCTTGTCTTTGTTGATAGCGATATTTCTCATTATTGTACGTTAGATATATTTCCTGTTGGTGATCATGCTAATGGACAGTTGTGGTTGCAGGGTTCATTGCAGGGCTTGGAATGGTCTATAGAAAGACCGATCTCAATTGCATCATAGTCTGCGTCATCACCAGCAATGTGTCCTTTGGTTTTACATTCATGATTAAAGGGGTCACGGAGGAGGTCTGCATTATACGCACGCACTCGTTGATTATTTTGTCCCACGTCACCAGCTGTAGTGACACCAAAGGTCGTGATATATGAGAGTCTGCTTGGTACATGAGAGTGCTGTGACATCAGCCACCTCGTGTACCAAGCATCATAATTTACAGTTATAAAACAATTACATTGAGAGGCAGAGAATGTATCACGTGGATTGGCGAACGTGTGAAAGTCAGCCGGTGTAATTGAGTGTTAGGAAAAGATAAAGGAGAGTGAGTCGGTGTGCTTGGGCAGCAACACACCTCTATAAGGGGATGATGGTCGGTAATGAAAACGAATGCCGGAGTGGCAGTGGCTTTTGGCTGGCCATCAAACAAAGATGGTCACTCCATCGCGCGCTTTCAGATGCGCTTCTTTGGCCGTCTGGAATGCTCTTCCAATATTAGGAAGCCACTGGAGCTATGCACATTTAAATCTAGATTGAAAACTCATCTCTTTGGAACTGCTTTTTGTGTTTAGTTTGTTGTCCTTCCCCCACACCTCTGATGAGCAAGGTTGACTACGTACAGTGCGAAATAAGTTCAACATACATACATACATACGAGAGAGGATGTTGACTGCAGAGATGGAGTGATAAAATCAGCTCATGTGGAGGCTCCATTTTACCCTAGATGAGCCAGCGCGACCTAAATTGGCGTCCTTTAGCGACTCCAATCTTTGACGTGGTTGGAATTGTTTCGTGAGAAAAAGTCTCTAATTGCCATTTTCAACAGGAAGAGAAAAATAAAATACGTGAATTACCAACACTTATATAAAGTATATGTAATACATAAAAGACAAGACATTACGTTTAAAATATCAACAAAGCAATGTATACCCTAGCCCAGGGGTCGGTAACTTATGGCTCAGGAGCCGCATGCTTTTTAAGGACCACCGTCTCATTCACATGCTCTTAAATTATTCAGTTTTCTTGCGAATTCGAACAAAAATGGATCTCCTTGTTATGTTGGTTGCCGACCCCTGCCCCTAGCAAATATAAGAGTTTAGAATAAATTATAGCTTATTATTATTATCAAGTTCATTCCCTAAAAAAAAAAATGGAATAAGTGCAAATGACCATCTCGCCTTATGTATATGCGCTGCAGAGTTGGGTTTTTAATAAACTTTCACATTTATTTAAACAATTCGCTGCTCTGACGGCTTGGGGGTAGATCTTTTGATGATGTCGGAACCAGGCAGCTAAAGGAACGCCTGCACAAAGTCACGCAGGGAATGGGAGAAGATGTAAAGGAATTGTCACTTATTACTGCCAATTACTTCTTACAGGGACTCTTCTACTTTCGAACGAGTTAGGTTCCAGAGGTCTGTTCGTAAGTCGATTTGTCCGTAAGTCCAACTCTACTCCGGGGAATCGCTTTAAAAGTTGTATAATCTCCTGTAGATGTAGATGGCACTGGTTCTTCATGTTCTGCAGATACAGATGCCACCACCGCTATCTATTGCACAGCGGTTGGAACTTGTGACTCTTGATCCGAACAGGCAACTGAACATATGAACAGGTTTGTTCGTATCTCTGAAAGTCGAATTTCCCTGTATTTGTAAGGATGAGAGTTGACCTTTGTGTTCTCTTCACGCGATCACCCAAAAGGTGGGGGCCCCAAGTACGTTGTTGCAACAGGTCCCCATTGTGAAGGTGGAGAGATTTTTGCCTCGCAACATCCAGCAGATGTGGCTCAGAAAATCTAAACTGGTTCAGAGTTTGCTTGAACAATTTCAGATGGAAAATATTTCTCCGGAATGCCCATTCAGCATTGGCCAGTGGACACCATTTACGTGTGACCCACGATCCTCCATGATGTGCACCTAGTTCTATTATATACACACCTGTGACCTGATCTCCTCGGATCTCTGAAGCTAAGCAGCATGGAGCCTGGATAGTGCTGGGATTGGGTGACCACCAATCACGAGAGGTGTTACTGTATAGGCTGTAGACCAATGGTTCTCAAAGTGTGGTACCCGAACCACCGGTGGTCCTTGAAGGTCCTCCAGGTGGTCCGCGGAGCCGTGATTCAAATGCAGGTTGATCTGGAAACAATGTTTTGACCTTTTGTGTCTGACATTAATGAATATTTTACTGATGATATTTAATGACAAATTTAAATTAAGTAAACTACCCAAATCCTAAGATATAAATGCCCCTCCCCCCCCAATAAAAACCTAAAAGCTGCGTAAAAAATTATAATGTTTCAGTCATATGAATTATTTTGTTTGACTGGTATTTAGAGAGAAGCGAATGCGTTTTGTCACCAGCGTGGGGGGCTATGTAGTCCGCGGAAATTTTTGCATTGGCCGAGTGGTTCGCGGGGCTAAAACAAGTTTGAGAAACTCTGCTCTAGACAGAGGGACAGCGTGGCGGGCATCAGAGGGTGCTACCACACACGCGCTCCCTGCCTTCACCAACCTTGAACTAAGCAGCGCAAGGGAAAGATGATTATATAACTCCCATCACATGAGGAGAGTCTTCATCCAGCAGTGGCTTGACATACACAAGTGCATGTGTCGATAATCTGCGTGTGTGTTTGCTTTTGCAGGTGGTGTATATGGGTGTTGTTCTCTACACCCCAGCTTTAGCTCTTAATGCAGGTAAATGTACTTCCTTTGTGTCTGGCTATACATGCTTGTACGCAATTCTGGTTATGGCTCTCACGATTTACCCCCATTCCATTAAATTAACTGCTGTGGTTCGATTTTGATTTAAAGCTTTCGTGACTGCAGGGATTCAAGTCCTTGTTTTATTGTTTTATATATTTTTTTATTGTTTCCCTTCTACGTGACTTTGCTGTGGTTCGACTGAATCCTTTGTTCCTTGTTTTCACATTGTGGGGAATCTAGCGACTTCTGTTGCTGCTAAAGAGGTCGTGTAACCCAATAACTAACGGCCAACAAATTCAGTATGAACAAAACATTTGTTCATACACTTGTGATTCAACGCACGTATCGTAAAGTTATTCATTTACTTATTTTTGTTGTATTTTTGCTTTTGGGGTGTTGTATTATGTTTTGGGTTATTATAGCGTTATATATTCGTGTTGTGACAACGCCCAAAGAACAAGGAAATTGCCAAGTCCCCCCAAGTCTCGGAAGCTAAGCAGGCTTGGGCCTGGATATTGCACCATGCATGCTAGGTTTAGTTCAGTTCATTTATTAGGGAGATCCCTGTGAGCCATTCGGCTCTTGAATCGGGTGCAACCGCAACAAACAAAAACACGAACAAGAAACATCTTAAAGTGACTACGCGCAACAGAAAAATCCAGGAAAAAACAGCAAAGTCTTCCAGAAAAAAGCACCGTATATCAATGCTGTGTGCAAAAATCCCAGTGGGATGCAAGTCAAACAATAACAACCATGAGACAATTTAGATTAAAGTTATCAGTCTAACTCTGTACAACAACAACCAAATATGGCTAATCCAAAACGTTTTCGAAATCACCAAAATAAAGCTATAAAAACAATGTAACAGTGATCATAGGCGGCTGCGGCGCTGTGCTGAGTAATAGTGCGCAGGAGACTGCAGCAAAATCCATCATTGTATTGTGATTCTATGCTTCCATGCCTATGCTGCCCACCTTCACCAAACCACGCTGACCAGCATGGCGAAGTATGTTAAAATGAAACCCACACGGCGTGTGGAGGAGGCGCTTTTTCCAGCAGTTGACTTGCAAAAAGAGCCGTGCATGTGCATTTGGTTTCGTGTTCCATGTTTGTGCTAGTCTCTGTGCCGTGCGTCACTCTTAGAATTTGTCATGTCGCTGCCGTGTGATGCGAAGTGGGGTGTTCCGGTGTTAACGATTCAGTGTTGACTTGTGTTGCTTTGTGCTGCAGTGACAGGACTGAATGTGTGGATATCGGTGGTGGTGCTTGGAGTCATCTGCACTATTTACACCACCATTGTGAGTATTAGCCATGCATCCACACTTGAGCGAGTACAACAAAGCATCAAAACAAATAATTTGATACATTTGCTGTTCGTGCCATCCCAAGTCCCAAGTCTGTCAGAGGCGCAGTATTTCGCTGATGGGAATCGCCTACAGTGTGCATTAGAAGTTTAGCGATTCATCTTCCCAGCAATTTTCTTCTTTCGTCTGGCAGATGTAGATGCAGAGCAACAACTACAATTTCACATTCAGGTGGTCAAGCCAGATAACCGTGTCAGGAGCAGCGAAGTGTATCACTGTAATGTCTCCTTCGTATTTGTGGATTGGGCATTCCCAGCAATTATATGAATTGTCACTATTCAGGGTCCCAATTCGATTTAAGTTTTTTTAGTTTTTACATTTTTTAGCAAATGTAGTTGCTGCAGTGGTTACATAAAACCATTGCATATGAATAAAAAAGCATCAGTCCATTTGCACTTAATACCTTGCGTGTTTCTTGGCTTTGGCATTTTGCTTTCTGAATGTGGTCAAATCATGTGGGCTTGTGTGTGGCTGTGCGCACGGTTGAATTATTGAAAGTCTGTTGTGTATGCCTGGAGGAATAACATCCGAATGAGTTCTCATCAGTTGATGGTATCAGTTGATAAGCGGTGGATTCTTTCAATGCCTCCATTGAGTTATCAGAGTTTATAGTGATTCACTGCTTACATTGTCAATCACACACCATACCCTATTTGATATTCACTTGTGAAGGTAGTTGGCAGATCTGTATTAATTCATTTTACTGTGACCCATGAAAAATGATGATTAATGTTTTCTAGATAGATTACATCTCACAGATTCTTTCGTTGAATCAGAGACCAGGTGTTTGATTAGGATATTGGTTTCCACCCAAATCTGTCGTCATTTCACTGAGGTGGTAAAGCCAGAATTTACAAGACCTCCGGCTGTGGTAAAGAACGATTTACCTGCTTTCTGGTGACGGTTCGGTAGAATGAAGTGATCCGAATGGACATGTTGTGGATACAGGATTCTGTGTTATCTTGTACAGTACATGCATGTGTGTGTGTTGGGGAGCAGTAGTGTAGTGGTTAGCCCACTGCTCTACTAACCTGGCAATATAAATTAAATTCCTACCTACGACCAATAACAGTGGCGAACATTTGAGCTAGTCCTGGACATCCACTAGATTGATTCAGCCTTAAGTTAGTTTTGTGGTGCGGTGTGTAAACATCAGCACTGGGGATAGAAATGCGGCTGGACATGGTGTTGGCCACCCACCCCCTTGTGTACAGTGTTGTCCTTCATAGGTACTCACTAACAGCATTTGCCCCAACAGTCTGTGAAAAGCTATGCGGGGGATCTTTGTATTTTTCAGGGCGGGCTGAAGGCGGTGATTTGGACGGACGTATTCCAGACGCTGGTGATGATCGCGGGCCAACTTGCCGTCATCATTGTCGGTGCTCAGAACGCGGGCGGCATCGCAAATGTTTGGGAAATCAACTCTAACGCTGGCAAACTATCTGGCATTGAGTGAGCACTTGCACGTACTATTAAATCACTGCGTATACACCTGCGCACCATAGTTGGTTGAATGGATAGTCACCAATCTAGATTTGAAGTTTTCGTGACTGCAGGGATCCATCACGACGTTTCGGGCGCAACGCAAGCGTCCGTCATCAACGGGCGCTTGTGCTGCGCCCGAAACGTCGTGATTTAATTAATTTTATTTTATACCTACGTGACATTACCGAAAGAACCTGAGAGTATGGATAGTCATCCTTTGCATTTTTGGCCTCTGGGTCTGTGCTCAGTAACCATGGGAATATAAACAAAGTGAGGCCTGCTCTGCTGTAATGCATGCTACCCTCCCTGGCATTTGCCACTTGTGTGTTTCACATTATAGTTATCATACCCTCTTCATAACATGCATTGCAAAGTTTTGAATAATCCAGTTCCAGCCAGTTCTACTGATTGGGTAATATTTTTCGGAACTTCAACCCGTTCATAAAACCACATGGCATGAGTGACCTGGAGGACCATTATAGTTTTTGCCCTCTACCGCCAGATCACTTTACATATTGGGAGCAATACTGCAGTGTTCCCACCAGGTGTCAGTCACATCGCCCATTGTGATCTCGTATGGAGAACATTTTCAGGTCATATCTCTATTTAACTTGGGTGAACATATGTCAAGATCAATATAGTGGGTCTCTGGTTTATTCCAGTCAAAACGAGCTCTTACTCAACACCACAAATTACTCAGGTGCCACAACTAGATCAACAAATTACGTGATTTATATAGGATAAAAAGGATCAATTAAAAAAATGTGTTGATATTTAACAGTCCTCTTGAATTGCGTTAGAAATCTTACAAAAAAAGTCCCCAAAGAACCAGAGATTAATTTCAGCTGCGCCTGTCGCTCATCCTGAAAAAGATTTACACACCTGAGTATTCTACATCCAGTCTACCTCCTGCTACGGCTGTGGCTATTCTAATCTCCATGCTTACTGTAGTCTACCAGGGAACCATGAAAATATTCTGTGAGATTATTAAACCTTGAATAGAACCAACATTGCAATAATGTCTTTCGGCTCCATATTGCTGTCTAGAATCTGTATAGCCTGTCGCTCCACACACTCTTCAACCAGCCACAGGCTCTCCTTTTCCTATGCATGTGAGACACAATGCGACATAAAACCACATCATCCCAGTAAAACATAGAACGTTGGATGGCCAAACGCATGCCAAAGTAGACAAATCATTGCAGGTTTTTCTGGGATCATCGTCAATCAATCAATCTTTTGTGTGCCAATATCGCTCAATGAAGTAGGCTTCAGTGCACATTACAACGGAACGGGAATGATACAGGGGGCACGGAGCAACGAATGAAAAAAGAAACCCGTCACGTCCTCAGCGGCTAACACTTGCTGAGCAATGTAAATTGCAACTGCACGCAAAACAAAGTGCAACCGTGCGCAACAAATCGCACAAAGTTAAGCAGTAAATAAAAATCTATTATAGAAATAAAAATTAAATAGTTTTATTTTATGGGATGGCAAGCCTTAATAAATGTGTCTTGCACAGATCACGGAATTGGGAGACACTCGGCGCGTTTCGGATGTCCGGTGGTGGCAAGCGGCAGGGAGTTTTTGGGGCTGCGCTCGAGAAGGCTTCGTCCCACCCAGTATCGGGTGAAACATCCTGGGCTGTGCAAGTCTTGCTGTTCCCGTGGAACGGAGTGTGTTGTATGTGCCTGACGATAGCGTTGCTGGTTTATTGGGATGATCGTGACGATGGCGTATATGTTTGTGTTGTCCGTGTGTAGCTTTGACCCGGACCCGTTTAAGCGGCACACGTTCTGGACCCTCGGGTTCGGGGGTGTATTCATGATGCTTGCACTCTACGGGGTCAACCAAGCTCAAGTGCAGCGATATCTGAGTGCCCGCTCTGAGAAGGAAGCAATCTTGTGAGTGTTGTTAGTTTGTTGTATTCATTACAAGTTGTCTTAATCACGTTTGGTCGTTAGTACTTCCAGAACACCCGGCGTCTTGCAGCGAATGGCCGTTGATGGACGTTGCTCATTATACGTTGCTGTGGATCATCATGGGTTAAAGCTAACATAAGCAGAACTCCATTCTGTTTCAACAAATATGACAAATATGTTTTATTCCTGCGGCCTATTGGCCTTCCGGACTAACATTATTCACACCAGTTTTGACCTTCTGGGTCTCAACAGGAGAGTGGAGCTTGTTAAACAAATGCTGCTAGATTACCAGATGTTATTGGCAAGACTACTCTGTAAAAACCCATTCAACGCAAAATGCAATGGCATACATAAACTCATTGCGAGGTGCCGTGGAGCATCGTGGGTAAACGCAAATATATATATCCGGAGTCCATTCATGTGGAGAGACCGAATGGAGTTACATGCATGCTTTTTTGCTCCGGCGATTTATTTTTGTGTCCGCACGTGTGTCTGCATGGCGGCGTGAAGACATTGTTTTTAGTTGGTGGGGGGTGGTGGAGGGTGGTGGGGGGTGGTGGGTGGTTTATGTGCCTTAACGATGTGCATGTCTTTGTGCTCACGCTTGTGTGCGCCCGCGTGTACCTGCGTGTGTGCGCATGTCAGTTCCGTGTACTTGGTCTTCCCATGCCAGCAGCTGATGCTGGCCATTGGGTCCATCATGGGCCTGGTTATGTACGCACGCTATCAGGAGTGCAACCCCCGTGTGATGGGTGACGTCACCACCAACGACCAGGTGCTGCAACCCTCTAACTGCACGTGCACACCGCTTGAACAACGCCTGCAAGTGTGTCTGTGCATGTGTGGTGGACACGGGGAGGATGCTGTCATCTGTTGTGCAGCCATGCAGCTACACAAACGCAAAAGCAAAACACACATACGATTGCATGCACATGGATGTGTACGCGTGGATATGCGTGAATGCACGCATGTGTTTGTAAACTCACACTCTCCTATGCGTGGCCATTGATACACGTGTTTAACCGTTGAAACTGTTTTAATCGTCAAGTGTCTTAACGTTTATTATAATTTAATAATAATTATACTCTTGTGTATAGCAATATGTTCAGAAGCTAAATGCCAATGTCGAGGTCTGCTTGCCGTGAGACGGCTTCAGGACAGCAGGAGACGGTAGCCTCTTCGCGTTTGGACTGGCTCGTCCGTCTTTGTACCTCATTCCAGATGGTGCTATATTTCGTGATGGACGTTCTTCAGGATTACCCGGGGCTGCCTGGACTCTTTGTGGCCTGCATCTTCAGTGGGGCTCTCAGGTAGGCATCATGCGATACTGACCATCAGGTAGACATCATGCGATACTGACCATCAGCTAGGCATAATGCGATACTGACCATCAGGTAGGCATCGTGCGATACTGTCCATCAGGTAGGCATTCTGCGATACTGACCATCAGGTAGGCATCATGCGATACTGACCATCAGGTAGGCATCGTGCGATACTGTCCATCAGGTAGGCATCATGCGATACTGTCCATCAGGTAGGCATCGTGCGATACTGTCCATCAGGTAGGCATTCTGCGATACTAACCATCAGGTAGGCATCATGCGATACTGACCATCAGGTAGGCATCATGCGATACTGACCATCAGGTAGGCATCGTGCGATACTGTCCATCAGGTAGGCATCATGCGATACTGACCGTAAAGTAGGCATCATGTGATACTGACCATCAGGTAGGCATCATGCGATACAGACCATCAGGTAGGCATCATGCGATACTGACCATCAAGTAGGCATCGTGCGATACTGACCATCAGGTAGGCATCGTGCGATACTGACCATCAAGTAGGCATCATGCGATACAGACCATCAGGTGGACATCATCCAATACTTAGCATCAGGTAGGCATGCGATACTGACCATCAGGTAGGCATCATGTGGTACTAACCATCAGGTAGGCATCGTGCGATACTGTCCACAAGTAGGCATCGTGCGATACTGTCCATCAAGTAGGCATCATGCGATACTGACCATCAGGTAGGCATCGTGTGATACTGTCCATCAAGTAAGCATCATGCGATACTGTCCATCAGGTAGGCATCATGCGATACAGACCATCAGGTAGGCATCGTGCGATACTGACCATCAAGTAGGCATCATGCGATACAGACCATCAGATAGACATCATGCAATACTTAGCATCAGGTAGGCATGCGATACTGACCATCAGGTAGGCATCATGTGGTACTAACCATCAGGTAGGCATCGTGCGATACTGTCCATCAAGTAGGCATCATGCGATACTGACCATCAGGTAGGCATCGTGTGATACTGTCCATCAAGTAAGCATCATGCGATACTGTCCATCAGGTAGGCATCATGCGATACAGACCATCAGGTAGGCATCATGTGATACTGACCATCAAGTAGGCATCATGCGATACAGACCATCTTGTAGGGACCATGTGGTACTGACCATCAGGTAGGCATCGTGCGATACTGTCCATCAAGTAGGCATGATGCAATACTGTCCATCAAGTAGGCATCATGCGATACAGACCATCTTGTAGGGACCATGTTATACGAACCATTAGGCCAGTGATTCATAACAAGTACTGAGTGTGACATTACATCTCATAACAAGGTACGCTTGCGATCTAAATTGTCTGATTCAAAAAGGAGGATATTTTTTTTATTGAAGCATATCTTCAAATAACCCAGAATCCACCTGATCTCGTCAGATCTCAGAAGCTAATATGGATGGTAACCACCATGCATTATGTAGGTGTTATAGACTGGTGCGGTGCTTCCTTTGTAAACAACAGAGGGCAGTGCTGCAAAATACATTGTTGTACAATACTGTACTATGCTCTAAAGATCATGCTCCCTGCCTTCACCAACCCGTACTGACCAGAGTGGTGAAGTATAGTTAAACAGCTTTCACGACCGATACGGCATGGGGTGACTTTCATCCAGCCCATGGATTAACAAAGGCCTGTACATTATTATTAATATTTGGTCACTTATTTATTCTGGGGGAGGGGGGTGGGACTGCCTGGATATTTCTCTCTCGCAAAGTGTATGTCCACCTCTAACTTTCACCCACTAACCCCCGTGTGTTGCAGCACCATCTCGTCGGCATTTAATTCCCTGGCGACGGTGACGATGGCCGACTTTGTGAAGCCATATTTCCCCAACATGACTGAGAAGAGGGCGACGCTTGTCTCCAAAGGCTTAGGTGCGTGAGACGGCATCTTTCCCCACCTCCGATGTAGCACGGTTGGCTGTGTACGGTACAAAAGAAGTTCAACATACGTACGCTTGTATGTGGTGACGACCATCCTGTGTTATGCTACTTGGTAGGTTTTTCACGATCAAGCTGTGCAACTCTCCGTTGTGTTTTTTGGTTGTACTGTGCCTTGTTCGGCACGATGTTATGAGATTTCGCTCGACGTGTGGGAAGCCACTTCAGGAACTTAAGAAACTGATTTCAAAAAGCTCTGGGCACGTGGAGGGAAACGTCAGGCATCGTGCCAAACGATGTTTGGCGCAACCTGAAAGCACGTCCTAGAGCTACACGACGTGTATATTAAATCTAGAGGTAACCTGTTCAATTAATTATCCTACTGTGACTTGGCCTCTGTCCACCGAGTAGTAAAAATGGGTTGAACCACAGCTAGTTAATGGGCAGATCGTGTGTGGTGGAGTAAAGTGTGGGTACTGCCACCTTCCAAGATGTATAGTCAGCACGGAAGACGAGGCTAACAATAGCCTCGAGAGGAGTTCGAGAGGAGAGTTCCCACTCTTGTGGCCCTTCTGCCAGCAGTGATGTGAACAAGCAATTGCAGGGCTGCACCTTACCGCGATACGTTGGTGGGTCATAAGACGTTGTAGACTCCAGTTCATGGTCATGGACCTTCTGTCTGATTTGAGTGTTTAATCAACGAACATGGCTTGTGCAAAACACAAAGACCGCGAGTAAAGTGTTATGCTTACAACTGCACCATTTAATATGTTTTACAATCATGTGTTTTGTGCATGTGTGTCAGCCTGTATGTACGGGCTGGTGTGCCTAGCAATGGCGTTTCTTGCATCGCTCATGGGATCTGTTTTGTCGGTAAGTATCAGCAAATTCAGATACTGGATTGTATGCTTATGTGAGGCAGAAAACAAACACAAATCGGAGACATCATGTTGACTGTTACGTTAATTCAGTGGGCTTGGGGAGAATATATCACGCGAAGAGATGATCATAATAATAATGCCCATTTCTATAGCGCTGTACTTGGCGAGTCATTACAGGGGCTTACAAATCATGGCTTGTGAACGAGATTAACAATGGAGTGGCAACCAAAGGAGACGAAACAAAAAACACTCAAAACTAAATTTTTTGGTTATTTAACCAGGTAGGGCCCACTGAGCTATATAGCTCTTTTTCAGAAGCGACCTGGCCACAAATGATAGCTCAACGAAGTGGCTTATCATGTGGACATTTATAGCAGCCAAATACTCTAAATGCATGTTAATTATAAATGTGGTGGGAAAAACTAGAGGACATGGAGAAAAATCGACACGACCACGGAGAGAACATGCGAACTCCAAATATACAGCGGGCATCAGCGTCGGGATCGAACCCACGACATCCTGTATACCAGGCAAGATAGTTAACATCTCCTAGCCATCGTGATGATGAGAGAGAGAGACGCAGACTCCAAATATACAGCAGGTGTCAGGGTCGGGATCGAACCCACGACCTCCTGTATATCAGGCGAGGTAGTTAACATCTCCTAGCCACCATGGTGCCGAAACACGATGCCTGAGAGGATAGCCATTGTGGATAAAGAAGCAATGAAATCAGCTCACGAGCAGGTGCAAGATGGCTCGTTGTATACATACAATATGTACCTCATTTTCCCGTTTCTTTGTTTCCCTCTGTCCCATACCCCTCCTACCGCCCCCCCCCCCCTCCCCCAGGCTGCCCTCAGTATATTTGGGATGGTGGGGGGCCCCCTGCTCGGGCTCTTCATCGTCGGCATGTTGTTCCCGTGGACCAACGCCATTGTACGAGCGTAACGCAAACCAAAAACACAAGCCCGCTGGTTATGTCATACCGTGTTAATGTAAATGTTCATCCATACAAAGGTTGCTTCGCGAGTCACTTAATGGTTTATTAATACGTTATATAAAGAGGCCGCTTCATGTTAGGTACGTATGCACCTATGTTTTGTATATGTGCACTCCTGCATGCGTCTATGGTAGGCAGTGCCACAGTCGGGAACGCAGTTTACTGATAAAGGCATCCTCTCGGCCGACAAGGGCAATGCCACTGTCATTATGGATAAAAACTCATACAACAACAAAATCCAGGACCTACTCAATGATGGGGGTTACTCAAAAATTAAAAGTGATCCTACTAACAGCCTAACGATAAAAACCAACAAGATCATCACTCGTTCGACTTCTCTAATTGAACCAACCAAACGTCCCTCCCTAAAGCCCTCGGCTGCAAGACCTCCCAGATTCTATGGTCTTCCCAAGATCCATAAAGAAGGTACCCCACTACGACCCATCGTGTCCATGATCAACTCCCCTACCTACAAGCTAGCCCGTTTTTTATCGGATACTCTGCTTCCCTTCACTGGCAAGACCACGTCAGCAGTACTTAACTCAACCCATTGGTTTCTATGGTCAAGGACATTGTACTATCTCCTGACGATATCCTCGTCAGCTTTAGTGTGGTCTCTCTGTTCATCAAGGTCCCAGTGCCTGACACCATAACAATAATTGAAGATTTGTTCCAACATGGACTGAACCCTGATGTACCTGCGCTGGTTAGGCACTGCCTCACCAACACTTACTTAACCTGGAATGGTACCTTCTACAAACAAAATGAGGGTACCCCTATGGGTTCCCCCTTGTCACCAGTGATAGCCAATGTTTTCATTGAGAAATTTGAATCAGACGCCATCCAGACATCCACCCTTCGTCCTTCCCTGTGGAAGAGATATGTGGATGACACTTTCGTCATTTGGCCACATGGCCTCCCAGCTTTGAACCATTTCCTAGACCACATCAATTCCAGACACCCATCCATCAAATTCACCATGGAAATGGAGAAAGATGGCAAGCTGCCATTCTTGGATGTTCTGTTTGAGAGGAGGACTGATGGCTCTTTGGGACATTCTGTTTACAGGAAGTCCACCCACACAGATTCCTACTTGAAGCCTGAGTCCCACCACCACCCGGCTCAAAATAATTCTCTCATCAAAACATTATACCATAGGGCTCATTGCATTTCTGACCAACACCACCTGGCCAGTGAATTAAAACATGTACATCTGGCCCTCAAGATGAACGGATACTCTGACCGTACTATCCGCCAAGCTGTTTCTCCCACCATACAGAAACAACCACCTGATACTCCGATCAAAGTCATCACACTGCCATACATAGCAGGCGTTACCAAAAAGATTTCCAAAATTCTAAACAAACACAAGATCCAGGTCCGGTTCAATACAGTACACAAAATCCGTGATTTGATCCCATCCGTAAAGGATGTCATTCCTGACTTACAGTACCCGGTGTTTACAAATTGAGTTGTACCTATGGTGACTGCTATATCGGGGAGACGAAACAACATATTTCTGACCGAATTCGCGAGCACAAATCAGATTTGAAACACGGCAGAACGAATTATTCGGCCATGGCTGATCACTGTTTCAACACAGCGGGTTCTCATGGCATTGTTTTCTCCGATACCAAAGTACTATGCAAACCTCCCGGTTATTACCAAAGATTTGTCCACGAAGCCATCCAGATATACAAACATAGACACAACTTCAACCGAGAGGATGGTTTTAAATTGAGCAACCATTGGAAAGATGGCATCAACTAAGTCAAACTTTAGCTGCCTTATAATTGTTCAGCCATTTCCATTTCTTCCAGTGGGTTGTACTCGCTCTCGTGCAGTTGCACCACCGCTTCCCCCGAACCCCCTGCAGCATAACAAAAGGCGGCTTAACTTAGCCCCTCCCCCCCACCCACGTCCCTTCCTGGCTCCTCCCCCCCCCCCTTAACCTGTATATAATCTCAAGTGTCTCAGAGCTCTTCACTTAATACAGCTATTTTGCTGTGACTGTTCCACCTGAAGACGGAAGCTTGTGTTGCCTCCGAAACGTCGTGATTTAATTTAGTTGTTTTCATTTATTTTATTTTACCTACGAGACTTTACATAAAAAAACCAAAGAGTACGAATTCTTGCAGTCACGAAAGCTTCAAATCTAGAACGTTCTGCTTAATTAAATAGACTTTTTCATAAATGTTTTCTCCTACAGCATCAGAGTGCAGCCCCACATTAAATACGCACTACAATGGCAATAGTTTAAAGCGATTTGAAGCATGTTTTATATTTTTTTGGGGGGGGCCGCAGAGCTTTGTGACGTCATATTTGAGAGGCGGTCTGACTTTTTGTGACCGGGGGGGGGGGTCAAAAATCGTCCAAAATTGCGTGACGTCATTTATGGACGGCCCCTATGGTCGTCACGAGATGATGAATCCGTTCGGATTTCACGCAGAATGAAGGGGGCTGCTCCTTACTTTCATGTGGATACCTTAGAGTTATCTCTGAGTTCCCTTCAACAAGTGACCGACTGGACATCTGTGAAAAATTGCTTTATAGCTCAGAGGATGGATTCCTGCAGTATAAATAAATATTCTGATTCTGACCTCCGTTATATACATTAGGGGGCACCACATTCCCATCCACTCTGCTACCGAGGATTGTTCATTGCATGAAATGCACATCAATGTTTTTCATTTTCAGGAATGATTTAAGTAAGGAACCACATTTTTACACGATTTGTTCTCATGTGGAGTTGTTGGTAACTGAGTTGAGACCATGAACGCATGGCACCTGGGAACCCAGTTGAATCGCAGGCAGGCCGCCAGAATTCAAACCAAGGATCCCAGCAATACCGGCTCGGCGCTCCGACCTATGAACCAGCTGGCCACCTCGCGAGTTCATTGTCCCTGTGCGAATGCGTTTGTGTGCGTGTGTGCATGTGCTGCTGACGTGGATGGACATGCACGCCTTCTCAGGGTGCAATCTCGGGGTTGGTCGTGAGCCTGCCTTTGGCGCTGTGGCTGGGCATCGGCAGCATCATGTACAACAACGCCAATGCCGGGCCTCCAGCAGGGCCGCCCCCTCAGTGCCTCAACATGTCCGACTTCACCACCGCGGCCACTACCGCCTTCGCCACCACCACCGTCGCCCCCCCTGCGTACGTGCACACACGTGCACACGCACTGGGATTTTATCCTCACCCTATAGCAGTCGGCATAGCTTTTGAATGTGTGTGCGGGAGCAAAGGGCTTTACGTCTTAAGAGGAAAACTGAGAAAGATAGGAAAACATGGTTATTGTTTTTCGTCATCGACATCGTCAATTTTGTTATCATTGTATCCAATTGTGTTGCTATCGAGTGGGCAGGCAGTACAACTTCACCGGGGCCTATGGGCTATAGGGACCCAGATATTCGGTCACAAAGAGGAAGAAATGGACAAGGAGGGCCCATTTTCTTCCTTGCATCAGGGCCTAGGCAATCACGACAGCACTGCCCCTAAATCCAGGGGTGGGGAATATTTTCCTTCTGAGGGCTGAATCAAACTTTCCAGTATGTTTTGCGGGCCACGCATGAACACACACCACAGCATTATCCAACAGTAACACACGTAATAATTAGGGCTCACCTTTACAGAATGCACAATGGTCAAACTTCCCAAGTGGGTGGTCCACGGGGGGATGGTCCCAATATTTCAAGCTTTTAAAATAGGGCCCTACATTAATAAAACAAACATTGTGGTTTTTTCCTCCGGTTAAATGATGCTATGAAGTCATTTCTTATTTTGGGTTTTCGTCATGGAAAATTATCGATTGTCCCGAAAAGAATATGAATTGGAAAATAAATCAACAAAATGTCAATTTTTGGGATCTTAAGGGGGTATCGCACCCTCCCCATGGTGACTGAGCAAGCTAAAATTAGAAACACGTGTATAAAATATTGCCCTCAATTCAGTGCGGGTAGGTTACTTTCAAAGATGGATAATTGTCGTCTGAAGGCCACATCAACGTGAGCGGTTGCATGTTCCGCGGGCACAAAGAAGTGAGGTCACGGGCCACATGAAAGTGAGGTCACAGGCCGGCATCCCCTCCCCCCTACCGTATAGCTGTTATTTTAGGAGATACACCTGAAAAAACATTTCATTCACCATAATAATTTGCACACCACAGTTGTAGCTTTTACATTGTTTGGCAGTGGTACAATTTGGCTAGCTTATAACTACAGCTATAATAATAACGCACAACCTTTAGTCAGTCCACTGGTGATTAAAAGGCCTTTCTGTTCCGTGTTGGTAATGGGGTCTTTTTGAACATACTTCACCATGCTGGTCTGTTGAATTTGGTAAAGGGGGGAGAACCTGGCACTGCTACAAATATCACTTGACACTGATATTAGCTGTAACCGGGAATTGAACTCAGGTCACCATATCACCGGGTCCATAGCGCTGGTTACCAACTGCTGCACAACTGCTCTATTATTGTATGAAATTGAGTACTGTGATATTTATCACAGTTGCGTTTAGTCTTCGATTGCATGAGATGATCTGTACATAACACTCGGGCATGAAGTGAGTGTATATGGTAACATACATTGTTAGTTTCCTAATATTTTTATGGTCATTTTAGTTTTGTGTTACTGTACAATCGGTGGATCTCAAGCGTCTTGAGGTGCACTGCTATGGCAGGACACATTGCGATGATGGCCAAAGGACGAGACTGGCGACGGAATGGCAGCTAAACGGGTCAAAAGGCCTGAGTTGGATTACCAGGAGTGATGTGGATTCCACGTGGCGTCGCAGATCCACGAGGGATGTTGACGACACACGGGGAGGAGGCCTTCGTCCAGCAGTGGAGTGGTGGCCGTGGCTCTTATCGACGACGCGTAGCGTTCACCGTGTGTATCGTCGTGTTCTCCCGTGTGCAGATTAACGGGACTGGCCAAGTTCTATTCGCTGTCGTACATGTGGTACACTGCTCATAACGCTGCCGTCGTGGTCGTCGTTGGGCTCGTCGTCAGCTTCATCACCGGTATGACTTTGCACAGACCGTGACCTCATATCGTACGTCCTGCTCATGGAATGATGTCATAAGCAGGGGGGGGGGGGGTGGGGCAGGGTGGAAATTTAAGAACCTTGTCCATTGTTTAACGTGCCAAGACAGGAGAACGAACTGGTGACCTTCAGATTCATGCAGATTCACTTGGTTAGAAATTACCAATTGCACCTCGGCCATGAGGTTCTGGTCTTCTTTGATTATTCATGAAAGAACGTCACTTCCGAAAACCTCTCTTCTGGCTTGACATAAATTATGTCGTTCACATTATTCATTAATTCCTAGTAATACTTCTCAGAACACAGAGTCGAGAGCTGACTATTTATAGTGCATTCAAATTCAAAGCATCCAAATTAGACATGCATGTCATTATACAGCTTGTCCTTAAACTACCGAGCAAATTGATGTTAATTATATAACGATATGAATGCTAATTATGCGGTGGTATGATTAAAGAGGCTGGCGATTATCCTGAATGGAATTGAAAGGACATTGATTGTAATTTCGCAGCTGTTGCTGGTGTCGCTGGTAGTGTTTGTTGACAAAGCAGTGTGTGATTGTAAGCGACGTAGGCTGTGGCGATGAGAATTACATCACACGCACCACGTTAAGAGCGACCTTTTGAAGGCGGATGCATGCTCTGCTGCAGGCTATACCAAGGGGCAAGATGTGGACCCTCGCACCATCTTCCCAATCATGGATTACCTGCTCTTCTTCCTTCCCCGGAGATATCGGCAGAAGCTCCATTGTGGCGTCCGGTTTGATGAGATGGTGAGGATGCGTTTTTTTTTTAAACGTACCGAAGCCACCCTTCTCGCAAAACTCTATCGACGCGTAAAACAACGGATTGTCAGACGTGCGATTCGATGCGCGTGTATTGCGAGCATAATAATAGACTCTGATCGTTGTTTCCCTCTTCCTCAATTCCCTGTCTCTATATTTACCCCCTCCAGTCTTGAGATGCTATCTATATAGTTTGACGTTGTTGTTGTTGTATTGGTACACCTCTGCTCATGGGGAAACCTTTCTCTAGTGTCCAAAGCTAAGTTTAAAAAAAAAAAAGTTGGAAATCACCTGCAGTCCACCGACATAAACAAAAGGTAAAGGTGCAACCCTGTAAATTGCCGTCTCGCACCACTGCTGCCAGAATGACATCCACTTAATAGGAGCTCAAGGAAGCTCCCCCAGAGGGGTATCTGGGTTAGTTTTCCAGCCTGGCCAAACGTACTGGAAGAAGACGGGAGTATACCCACACTTTACCCCACCACACGCAACCTGCCAAATAACTAACAATTGTCGTACCTTTCGATTTAAAGCTTTCGTGACTGCAATGATTCATCTTCTTTGGTTCTTTCGGTAAAGTCACGTAGAATGAGAATAAAATAATAACTTGATAAAATAAAATAACACAATAATATTCTCACGACGTTTCGGCCACAACACAAGCGGCCTTCATCAGGTGAAGGGACGAGACTGTCTGGTAGGACAGCGCTGGAGTGAAAGAGCCACGTTCAGATCACGGCCTATAACGTAGCTATTTCTGTGAGCAGTTACAAGCTAATCACTCAGCTATTTCAATGCTAAATTCTATGCTAATTCCATTGTCAAGGGGTGCCTCTGCGGATGTGTATGCTTTAACTTAGCTATTTCAATGCTAAATTCTATGCTAATTCCATTGTCAAGGGGTGCCTCTGCGGATGTGTATGCTTTAACTTTTAACATAACTATTTCTGTGACCAGTCACAAGCTAATCATTCAGCCATTTCAATGCTAAATTATATGCTAATTCCTTTGTCAAGGCGCTTTGTTCCTCTCACACAGCTTAAAGGCCGTGATCTGAACGTGGCTCTTTCACTCCAGCGCTGTCCTACCAGACAGTCTCGTCCCTCTCACCTGATGAAGGCCGCTTGTGTTGTGGCCGAAACGTCGTGAGAATATTATTGTGTTATTTTATTTTATCAAGTTATTATTTTATTCTCATTCTACGTGACTTTACAGAAAGAACCAAAGAAGATGAATTGTCGTACCTGCTTACGCTGCTGGGAGGATAGAGACATGGGTGGTTTATTAAACTAGCGCCGTTGTTTCAACCGCCATGTGCGGGAATTTGAATCTAACTGTGGCGAACTTTGGATTATAAGTCCTTGTGCTTTAACCTTTACACCATGGTAATCAATCTGAATGTGAAATATTTCGTTTTCTTCCTGAACGTCAGTTTAGAGGGGTTTCGCTGTTGGCCAAAATTTCTTGCCACAGAGCAGCATCTTGACGGTGAATCTGCTATGATTAATAATAGAGAGCACTTGTCTTAGGAACATAAATGTGAAATACAAATGAGCACAGCAATATGCACGCTAATCTTGTGAGCGCTGACACATGCTATACGCAAGTTGCGTTTTTTTAATTATTGCACTAATACTGGAAGACCTTGTATATACTCCGTTATGTGCTGTACCGTACCTAGTGGATTATTCATATTCCATCAAAACAATAAATGGCTGTATTGCACGTGAATAAGTTTTATGTTACTCTGAGCTAGGCGCTTTACTGGGGATGTAATTTCCAGCTGAGGTCATATTTTATATGACTGTAGCCTCTGGATTATAAGATGCAACTCCCCACCTCCACCTTATTTTAAAGCAAATGTTGGGTGGTGCGTCATATATATGATTGTAATCAAGTAGGTGTGTGTGTGATCATATTTGTATAACTGTATAGACACGTGGCACAAGATTGGGGTCGATCTTTATTTCCAGGGCGTCTTATTATCCAGAGAATTCGGTACTTAGATTTTTGTTGTATCGCACTTTAATTATTACGTCTTTTTACTTAACCTTTTCACTTTAGATTAGTGCAGGGTCCACTCAGTGGTAATTTTAACAAGGCGGCGGTTAATCACATTTTTCATTAACAGGTAGCGTCATAATCAGTGTGCACCCAATTCACAGATGTCCCCGACTGGGCATCTGTTTAAAATAGCTTTATAGCTCATCGGATTTCTCCAGTATAAATATTATAATTCTGATCGGCTCTCACAATGTTGACAGATTAAATCTGACCACCGTTTGTTTTGAATTCAACCATGAAGATTAACAGCAACTACCTGCAAATAAAAGCTGACTTTGCCCTTCTAAGTTCATTTCTGCACATCGCCGTCATAAAATAGATATTGGCGTTATCTATCCAATGTGTTCTTATGACCGTCCTTAAAATTCAACAAACGTATTAACTGTTTTCGAATAAAACCTTCATAGTCATGTTTGTTTCTAACCGCTTGGCATTTTGGGCCTTTGGGGTCTGTGCGCGGCAACTGTCATATATAGAGAAAATAAATTCAGCATTCTATGCCTTGCGTGGCGGAATCTTGTACGAAAAAATTATGAAAAGTTATCACCAGATTTGGCAGTAAAGTAGGTTGGCGGTAGCTCACATTACGTACATGCGTTTTTTTTTTTAGCTGCACAAAGTCCCATTTTGCCCATCTCTGCCAATGCCTAAAATGCCCCCCACAGCAGGACCCCTCCCGTGCATGATTACTGTAAATCTCTCTTTTTATGCATTACCTGAATAGTCTCCAATGTTAGGATTACTGTTAAGCTTCTTACACACATTGGTAGCAGGGACTATGATGTCGCTGGTCGGCAAGTCCCTCAACTGACTTTTCATTCACCTGTGCTTCGACTAAAAAATGTTTGTTTAACACTTAGGATTTCACGACCAAAACCTTCGCACCTGATTGGTTCTCAAGTGAAGACATCACATTTATCCCTCTATTTAAGACCGAAACAGCAGGATTTCTCCACAACTCTGGCTGTCATTTGATGATGCTAGTTGTAATCACTGGTTTATTCTCCAACGCACCGGTGTGCTGTACTAGCAACGAATTGGCATGTTTTGTTTACATGATAAACCTTACTAATTGCCTGTGTCGGGTGGTGGCAGTTTTAACGACATTCATATTTACGCGATCCAACCGAAAAAAACCTCTTATGGATACAAAATGTTTCATCTCTCCACCTAGAATAAAGCATACGTTGGTAAGTCACTCTCGTGAAATGACGCAACCGAGCAGTAGTGCCATTGTCACTTGTTGCAGAGTTTTTGTGGTTCCAGCCGAGTGGCCCCCACTGGTCAGTAGCGCGAGTGTGTTAAGCGTAAATGCATGCCTTCTGCTAAACGGTGGATGTTAAAGATCTCCGTGGTGGTATATTTTTGTTTAAATGTAGGTGTGCCGGTGTCACATTGTTAAAATTTTACAGGTTAAAAAAAAAAAACATTACTGTACTGTCAAATTACTAATTGGGGAAAGTCATATTGCAGCTTAGCCCCCTAATGTTAAACTTCTGCAGGCTGTAGTCGTCTGTAAATCAGAATCAAGATATAAAGCTCTTTTTCAAAGATGTCCAGTAGGGGCGGGTCAGTAGGTTACAACAACAAACCATACAAAACACGATCAGAGTGCAAAGTCTAGGAAAGGTGAGAAAATCTAAAAAAAAATGTATGACTGGTGCGAATACCAAGTTTGCTCATGATTTAAATAAAAAAAATTGTAAAAAATTACGAATGCGCATATAAGGACTTAGTTTCCTTGAATACTTGGGTTCTAAGTTTTGAAAGGCTGTGAAAATGGACGTTTCATTTTTTTGCAGAAAATCGAAGATTCAACTGTTGCGGTGACAGAGGATGAACACAAATATGAAGATGGGAAGTACTCGGGCACCACCACTGAGGATGGATACAACATTGTAAAAGATAGCACTGAAAATAGTTCCGTCATAAATGGACACATGAAAGTAAAACCAGGCCACGTTATCTTGGAAACACGCATGTGATGTCAAGGGGTACTTGGAGAACTGGCCTTCAAAATCATCTGCACTGACTCTGGAAAGAGTAATAAACTGCTATTAAATAAGCTTTAAGCCTGCGTTCTTAAACTGTTATGTCATAGTTTAAAATATAATGAAACGGATGATATCTTTGCAAGTAAACAATATATAGGTGAAAAGGAATTTTTTTTTTATTTTAAGCAAACAGGTTTCGAGTGTTAAAAACTGAGATCTGCCAGAGAATGGAGAAATATTTCTGAAATTAAAATGTTCCTTTTATCAGTATGAAAACATCTTTTTGGGAATGGTACCTCAACCTATAATCGAACAAGTTGCCAGCTTTTAAGAAAGTCAAGCTATCTCTTGAAAACCAACACAACATAGCTCAACCATGTGTGCTCGGATTGCACCACGTGTTATTCGGAATTATGCCCGACGTTTCGCTCCATGTTCTGGGTGTTTCTTGAAAAATTTAATATCAGTTCCTGAGCAACACACGGAACAACCGTTCAATGCATTGGAGCATTAACCAGTCTACGTTTCCCTGCTTCAAAAGGTATTGCACATGAGCGCTTGTGCTTGATTGCATTGGCCAATGTGACAATTGACAAAAGGAGACTGCTTAATTGCATTGGTGGTGCAACTGTTTTTGGGTTTGAACCCAATTGGCTTGGTGACTGAAAAGCCGTCCTTTTTCCACGAAATATCCCATGAGAAATGAACGGGTTGCTTGACTCAGTTGCAAGTGATATCATCGATCAGCACACGCTGTCGACAATCATGTGAAACCAGTTTCCTGACACTAATCATGGGCCAAAAACGAACAACTGTGAATGCATTCATGCAATAATCAAGTTTTATTCCCTCTTGCGTTGTTGGGTTGTATTATGTATGGAAACACAAACAATTTAGTGCTAAATTGTAATCTTTCTCAATAGGTTACAATCGAGGAAGCGGAAAGTTAGCGGCTCAATTTGTATCCTGAAGACACTTTCAAGACATCGGACATTATGCCAAACAACACGCGGTACAACCTGAAATCGCACCTGATAGCCGCATGTTACAACCGCATAAACCTACACAGTAGAAACAACTATTGTATTATGGAACTGAACAGTGCCGGATTAAGCTAGTGCGGGGCCTGTAGCATATGTTTTAAAGGGGTCCTAAATATAAAAAAAACACATTAAAACGCATGTTTAACTTGCACAGTAAAATAATTGTATTTTTAAATTTGCTATACAGCCAGATAATACGACAAATTTCTAACCTTAAACACCCAGTCGTTCATAGAAAGTTGAAGGTGGTATAGTACTATAGTAATAGAGCAAATGCGGAATCACTGAACCGGAATTGATAGCTCTAAAGCATTTAGCGCAGAGCCATTGAAAGTCCTGGGCCCGTTGCATCTGCTACTTTTGCGACTAGGATAATCCGGCACTGCAACTGAATGGCCAGTGGCCTTCAGGAGTGATGACATAAGCACTGAAGATTGTGTTGTGGCCTTGCATAAGTGCACGTATGTGCATGGTGGTTGGTCCACGTTCCTGGTTTCCAGGGCCGCATTAACGCACAGGCCGTAGGGCCTCAGATTTTGGATGGGGTCCCAAAAAGCCTATTTTGCTCCATAACGTTTGGAATGGCAGAAACGCAACACGTAATGAACCCTGTAAGTAATTTGGTCATTACAGCCATAGCATCACTTCTGTCTATTACTGCAGGACATAATTGGGTGCGGTTTAATTCTTTGATTTACCCTTACAATTCGTGCATTAAAGTAAAAACAAAATAGAACTGAAATAATAATGAAGTGTTTGTTGTCGTCCATGGGTGGTAGTAAAACGGTAAAGGGGAAGCAATTGAATCTGCAAAGAGGGCCCCTCAAAAATTGACAGCTCTGGGCCTGCATCAAACTTCAAATTTGACCCTGGTCATCTGCAGGAGGCATTCATCCATGGCTGATGATGATGATGGTGGTTGTGTGCTGCAATAGCCAGATGACAGTGCCTGCTATGTGACTTGTGTACAATTTATTTTTCCTTGGAAGAAGAATACATTGAGGTGGATCGATGGTAGGTGTGCACTTAAAGGGGCATGATTTGGTGAATGTTTTATTGTGAATTTAAAAAGGAAACATTGTGGTTTACAGGGACCCTTTTTGAATAATATATTTCCCATTTGTAAACATGACGGGAATAATATTGCAAGTTTGCAATAAAAATGGTACAGGATGTATGTGTAGCAGTTTTAGATAATTAAAAACTTTGTTGTGATTAAAATATTTTTGTACGATTTTGGCAAAACAAGTAATGTTGATTGTGGTATTTAATTCCTTTTTTTTAAATAAATTATTGTCTGCTAAATACTTATTGTTTAATAAATGTTTAATTTGACCCATGACCAAATCGCCAGAATTCTCCCGATCTCATCATCAGATCTCGGCTAAGCTGGGATAGATGCTGTTTGGATGCATGTTTGTTAAACTTCTTTTGCACCGTACGTAGCCAACCGTGCTACTTGATGGGTGACCACCATGCATGCCAGGTTGTCATGGGCTGCCTTGGGGCCGTGGTATGTTGTAGTCGGCACAGAGAGTAAGTAGAGCAAAAATGTATTGTACAGGTTGGTCCCGATTTAAATAAACCTTACAAAAGACACATTCAGTTTTAGATAATTAAATGTGGGGGGTCGGTCACAGGACATTTGGTGGACCACCCTGTACAGCATTGCACTTGTCCTTTGCCACGTCCGCCCTGCCTGGTTTCAACCCAGCGCTGAGCAGCGCGGTCAAGTGTGGTTAAATAGCTCGCACGGCGTGGGGATCCCCTCATCCAGCAGCGGGTTGGCAAAAATATATTTACGTGTACAAAAAATTGCTTCTATGTTCTTTATAATTAGCCCTATGTGAACAAAAAAAACCCCACAAGTACTGTATTGTACGTGTGTCCATAGGGGCCGTCCATAAATGACGTCACGCGATTTTTGACCCCCCTCGTCACACGGCGTCAAATATGACGTCACAAAGCTCTGCCCCCCCCCCCCCCAAAAATAAAACATGCTTCAAATCGCTTAACTATTGTCATTGTGCGTGTTTAATGTGCCGCTGCACTATGATGTAGGAGAAAACATTGATTAAAAAGTCTAAGTAGAACGTGTGCATTTTGATGTGACGTCACATTTCTCACCCCCCCCCCTCGTCACACATCGTCGCAAATGTCTGACCCCCCCCCCAGATGCGTGACGTCATTTATGGACGGCCCCTAAAGCGAGTCACGTGCTTTTTTTTCACTTGCGAATGCATATATAAGCCTTAAAACATGTTTAAACTGCACTATTCAACGCGCAATGCATCTACAGTATGCCTAAATAAACGATGTACGTAAATAAATAGAATAGTTAAAATGATGCCGACTGACTCGATAAGCTCACATCCAAAAAGCGGGAGTTACAGATAATGATAAGGGGCCGTCCATAAATGACGTCACGCACCTAGGGGGGGGGGGAGGGGGGGTCAGACATTTGTGACGATGTGTGACGAGGAGGGGGGGGGTTTGAGAAATGTGACGTCACATCAAAAATGCGCAACTTTAAATAAATATAGACAACACGTTCTACTTAATTAAATAGACTTTTTAATAAATGTTTTCTTCTACAACATCAGAGTGGAGCGCCACATTAAATACGCACTACAATGACAATAGTTTAAAGCGATTTGAAGCATGTTTTATATATTTGGTGGGGGGGGGGCAGAGCTTTGTGACGTCATATTTGACGGGGGGGGTCTGACTTTTTGTGACGCCGTGTGACGAAGGGGGGGGGGGGTCAAAAATCGTTCAAAATCGCGTGACGTCATTTATGGACGGCCCCTGAGCCAATCAGATTGTAAATGATGTACGTAATTATTAATCAAATCTTATTCTCTTGCTAAGTTGATGAATCTTGAGATGAGACGTTTTTAAAAAAGCGCAATCAAGCGGAGCGCAATAAAGCGAGGTACGCCTGCACTGGGCTTAACCACTGCACCACCGCTCCTCGGCATCACTCGAGGACGCATCTCTGTGCCCACCGCCCCAAGCTGCACTCTCACGCGGGTTGTGGGGGGCCCGCGGGTTGTGGAAAAGACAGGTGGAGTGTACATTGGCTGTTCATTGCTTTATCCTGCACAACGACGCTCACGACTCTGTTGAGTTACGCAGAAGTAAAGTGTTGCTGAGATTACGTTTTAAACTTTAAAAAACTAACAGGTCGCGACCACGAGAGCTATATAGCTGTTTTTTCAGAAGCGACCTGGCCACATGATAGCCCAATGAAATGGCTTAACGTATCGCACCCAATTACTAATCACGTCCACGACAACAAATACTTCGTTGTTGTGGTGTATATCTGTTCGACAACAGTCGATGATCGTCACTAATTGAGTTGTAACATTTATTCCAGGTCTAGATTTGAAGCTTTCGCGACTGCAGGAATCCATACTCTTTGGTTCTTTCGGTAAAGTCACGTAGTCGGTATAAATTCAATCACGACGTTTCGATTGCAACACAAGCAATCATCATCAGGTGGAGAAACCCACAGCAATAAAATGTTTTTGCTGAAGTGGGAGAGAGATGTCGTGGCAAGAGGTTATATAGGTAAGAAAGGGGGGACGGGCGAGGGGGGAGAGAGAAGGGGGGTGTGGGGTAGGGGGGGAGAGGAGTGCTGCGTGGACGCTGCTCAATTTGTATCCATCTTCTCGGTTTAAGTTATGTCTATGTTTATATATCTGGATGGCTTCATGAACAAACCTTTGATAGTAGCCCGAAGGTTTGCAGAGTATCTTGGTCTCAGAAAACACAATATCATGTGAGCCCACAGCGTTATAAGAATGGTCAGCTATGGCAGAGGTATTGGTTCTGCCATGTTTCAGATCTGCCTTGTGTTCGCGGACACGGTCCGAGACATGTCGTTCGTTTCCCCGATGTAACTGCTGCCGCAGGTACAACTCAGTTTGTAAACTCTAGGATATTGCATGTCAGAAATGACATCCATCACAGATGGGATTAGATCACGGATTTTGTATACTGTATTGAATCGGACCTGGATCTTGTGTTTGTTTAAGATTTTGGAAATCTTTTTGGTAACACCTGCTATGTATGGTAACATGATAGTTTTGATTGGCTTCTCAGGGGGTTGTTTCTCCATAGTTGTTTCTCCATAGTTGGAGAAAGAGCTTTGCTAATAATGCAGTCCGAGTATCTATTCATCTTGAGGGTCTGGTGTGCGTGTTCCAGTTCACTGGCTAGGTGGTGTTGGTCGGAAATGCAGTGGGCCCTATGGTGTAGTGTTTTGATAAGGGAATTCTTATGTGCCGGATGGTGGTGGGAATCAGTTTTCAGATAGGAATCTGTGTGGGTGGATTTCCTGTAGACAGAGTATCCAAACGAGCCGTCAGGTCTCTTCTCAAACAAAACATCCAGGAAAGGTAGCTTACCATCCTTCTATCAAAGGTTTGTTCATGAAGCCATCCAGATATATAAACATAGACATAACTTCAACCGAGAAGATGGATACAAATTGACCAATCATTGGGTCTTATTAACCAGGTAAAACCCTAACTGCTTTATGGTTGTTGTCTATCATATCTGCCGGGTACTAGTCTATTTTTCCGAGTTAACTTTTTTACCGCATCCCAAGTTCTCTCGGCCTCCCACTTCCAGCCCTGCCCAATTTCCCCCATCCAGCTTCACGTCCCTCTCCTCGCGTCCACACAGCGCTCCCCTCCCCGACCCCCCTCTCTCTCCCTCCTTGCCCCTCCCCCCTTACTTTCCTATAAAATCTCTTAACACGGCATCTCTCTCCCACTTCAGCAGAAAAAAAAAATTTCTTGCTGTGGTTTCTCACCTGATGATGATTTTTTGTGTTGCAATCGAAACTTCGTGATTTATTTTATTTTATACATACGTGACTTTACCGAAAGAACCAAAGAGTATTATTCCAGGTCCCTTAATAAAAAGCCAGTGCTCTACTGAAGACATTATTTGGTGATGCTGCTGCTGTGTTGGCTTTGGTGCACAAGCACCGTCAACAACACCAACTCGACACACTGTCAACAACACTGCCGTGTTTGTGCCCTGAAAAAGGGCCATTGCACCGAAACGTTGCATATTATAGGCCTTTCCTTTTAAAGCCCCCCACGGGTGTTATTGACGAATATGTTGGCTGGAAGGGGTGGGTGGGGGGGGTGTTACTTAAAGACGGAGAG